GCTGCCGCCGGCACTGGAGCCGCCGCCGCCGCCGGCCACGGCCAGGAGGGCACGAAACCCTCTGCGCACAAGGAGGTCCCCGAGGCCGTTGTCGCGCAGGAGACCATCGTCGCCGAGGGCACCCCCACCGCCACTGGAACTCTCGCTGGTGGCGCCGCTGGAACCAAGCCGCCCCAGGCGCAGCAGAAGAAGAAGGGCGGCCTCTTCTCGTGCTGCTCCACGAGCAACATCGACTAAGCCAATCATTCCTTTCATCTTTCATGCTACATCATTTTCCTAACTTCTATATAGTGCTGAACACTTAATTACTGCTTTGGTATGCAAACTTATACTGATGACTGGGGTTCTGACTTCGCGGCTGACTTGGAGCTGGGCGAACTGGGCTAGCCGGTGTGGAGGTGAGGCAGGAGGGGCGCAAGTGGATCATGTGAAAGGTCGCACCTGCGCCCCTTGCGCCTTCCCGACCTTCCTCGCTGCACACGTCAACTGACACACTGACACGGCGTCCCTCCTCAACTACTTCATAACCACTCACTTTCCCATCCTGCACTTCACTACTCAGGCCTAACTCGCCGTCGGCATCGGTGAGCTGCGAGGAGCAGAGGATAAGCTGACAAGCCAGCCAAGTTCCAGCAAGACTGCACTGTGAGCTAGCCGGATCCCCAGCATAGCTCACCCCAGCCCAATCGAGATTGTAAGCTAGGACGTCATCAAAGGAGCTCATACCAGACTGCGAGGAATGGTAGCTGTCCTACCGTCACGAGCTGACATCGCAGCGTGAGAGGGACGGTGAGCTGTTGTCGCCGCGAGTGCAGCTGACAAACTCAGCTGAATGTAAGCTAATGCTGGTCCCTTTCAGTAGCTGATCTCAGGACGAAGGATGAAGGATGAACGCATCATGGTGAGCTATCCATCGTGCTGGGGAGCTCACGCCAGCCCACGCCGACGTAAACTGAGAGGGCGTTCAGAGAGCTCATCCCAGTCTCGGATGGAGAAGGTAGCTGCGAATCTTGGTTGGAAGCTGACGACCCAGCGTGGGGGATGGTGAGCTGTGCGTCGAACACCGTCAGGCTGACAAGCAGACCTCTGTATGCTAGCAATGACTCTTCGAGCTGATCCCAGGACGAAGGGCCAAGACGTCGCAGTGAGCTTCGCATGAGGTTGGAAGCTCACGCCAGCCGATACAAGGGTAAGCTGGCAAACGGCTTAGAAAGCTCACCCCTGTCATGGCTGGAAAAGGTAGCTACGAAACTGGTGGTGAGCTGACGATGCCAGAATCAAGGACCAGTGAAGCTGCAGTACCGGACGCAAAAAGCTTACGAGCAGAGCTCGGCATGCTGCGTTTGACGCCTGCAGCTGAACTCATGCCGAAGACGTCATAGTGAGCTACCCCTTTGTTTGACAGCTCACCCCAGTCTATCCTGAGTGTAAGCTCGCAGGCGGTTAGGTAGCTCACCGCAGTCGGGCATAAGGAGGTAGCTGTAAACCGCCAGGTCCAAGCTGACAACCCAGGGCGGAGACATAGTGCGCTGCGGTGTAGGGGAGAGCAAGCTGACTCCAGGTCTCGGTGAGCTAGGAACAGGCATTCACCAGCTCATCCCAGTTCATGAACGTGCAGCTGGGACCATTGGCTGCAAGCTGACCGTCCAGGCGAAGAAGAATGGTGAGCTACATCGTGGTGTGACTGAAGCTTACCACCAGATCTCGCTCGGTGAGCTGAGGATTCGGGTGCTAGCTTGGACTAGCACGAGGAGAACGGGCAGCTGAGAAAGCTTTGTCTAAGCTGACGACTCAGCGTGCGCATGCCTTGACGAAACGGTGAGCTGCCTCTTTGGAGCCTGAGCTGACAACAGGCCACTGGATGGTGGGCTGGCTGGGTAGTTGGTCAAGGGTAGCTGCCACGCCGGGATTGAGCCGACGATCCAGCGCAAGCCCCTCGGCGTCGGCGGGGTGCGGTGAGCTTTTGGGTCTCTCCAATGTAGCTGATATCAGCTCTCAAGATGGTGGGCTGTTCGCTATGCTGCCGTAGTTTTTCTCAGCTTCGATGAAGGACGCTGGTTAACTGATCAGGTATTGAGCTGGCTACGTAGTGACCAGGTGGTGAGTTGCGTGTCTGTGGCAAGCTGACATCAGATGTCCCGGCTGTGAGCTTTTTCGATGCCTGAAGCTCATCTCAGAAAGTTGGCAAGAAGGTAGCTAGAACATTGCAGTCGCATAGCTCACGAACCAGACTCGAAGATAGGTCAGCTATTGGACGACACAGCGACAGCTGACACCAGCCCTAGCCCGCGTTTCTGTAAGCTTCTGCGATTGAATGGCAGAGCTGAACTCAGAATCAGGTAACGATAGCTTCTTGTATACCAGCGGTAGCTGACAGCTCAATCCAGTATGCGAGGTTCAGGTTCATCAGCTATCTAGGTCTCCCAGGCTGCCTGGCGGTAAGCTGGCAGGTTATCTACGATAGCCGATATCAGCATTGGGAGAGAACGTAAGGAAGCTGGATAGGCCAGGCTTAACGAGCTGACAAGCCAAGGCCAGGGGAATGATCCCGCCTACGTGTCGGTCAGCTAACATGCTCCTTTGTAGCTCACTTCAGGCCAACCGACATAGTCGCGGGTTGCGAGTGAGCGGAGCGCCCGGGCTGTGGACGTGAGCTGCGAACAGCATCTGCCAAGCTGACATCAGGTTCCCAAGCCGCCTGAAAGGTGAGTTGATTACTGGCACCGTCAGATCGTCTCAGGGAAACAGTAGCTGTGAGTGCGCTGGGAGCTGATTGCGCAGAGTTGGGTTAGGTTGTGAGGCATGGGTCCGTAGATGCCGGAATGCTTGAGGGGTGAGCTGCTGAACGTTCTGTGTTGAAGCTGTTCTCAGACGTGGTAAAGGCGGTAATGGACCCAGCGATGGCCAGACCGTAGAGAGCGTGAGCTACGAATGTGTGTACAGTAGTCCTAGCTAACTCCAGTCTGCCATATCACTAGATGGCGATGTGAGTGGTTGTGACGGTGAACTGATGCGGAACAAGCACTCAGGGGAGGTAGCTATCGAGCGCCAACTAAGCTGACAACCCAGACCCGACAGAGGGTGAGCTGCCTGGTCGCTTCGTGAAGCTGATACCAGTCTTCACGCCGATCTGGTAAGCTGGCCAACTGAAACTGGTAAGCTGATTCAGGCCGGCAAGAAACCAGCCTTGGACTTGTGGTGCCGAAGTGCTCGCGCACGACTCCGTGAGCTGTGGGCCTCTTCACCCGAGCTGATGGCAGATTGTGCGATGTGAACGGTGATATCAGCTCATCCGAGAAACAGATACGGGTGCTCCCCGCCCACGAGACGCCGAGAGCACGAAGCAACAGTGAGCTTTTGGTTCGCCGGTTTGAGCTAATGCCAGGCCACTTTGCGCGATGAAACGAACTGTTGTAATGAGCGATCTGTGCGGCGACGGCGTCGCCGCACGCTATAAGACAGGTAGATACCCGTAGCATCTCTCTATGTCATCATTCACAACACGAACACAGTCTGGCAATAGCCCATCCCAGGTCTTTTGAGGTGACAGCTGTTTTTTCACAATCGCAGCTGATCTTCAGACCTAAATGTCTAGCTTATTCCGCCACCGGCCCCTCTGCGAATGTGAGCTGTCGCGATCGCCGAAGCTAACGCCAGTCTGCGGCGTGTTGGTGGCGAGCTGGTTTCAACGTGTCGCCGCTCATTCCGAAGAGAATCCTGGACAGGTAGCACGTCTGCGCTCAGGCTGATCGACCAACGTTGCTAAGTTGTAAGCTACGCATTTTGAGCCGAGCTAACACCAGTCCTCCGAAACGCTCCCGGGGTGAGCTCACTCCCGGAGGATCTAGCTGACCCCAGGCCTCGGAGCAGGTAGCTACCTCGGAGCACTCAATGCTGACCCGTCAGAGCTTTAGAAGGTAGAAGGTAAGCCCGTGAGACTCATCTCTGATTATCGATCGCATCAGCATCCGCGGCTACGGAAATTCCTGTTCCCAGCCGCGCAGTCTTTGAAAGCTCCTGTGCTGCGGTCTCTGAGCTGACAAGCGCTCGGTCGGATGATTTGGCGCCTTACCTTTAAGTGCTTTTTCGAGATTGGAACAGCGTACGCGACACTGCTAGGCGTGGCCGCGCTGGGGACCCACAGGCGATCCACGATCGGGGTGATGTGAGCTCAGAAACTTCCGCTAAGCTGACTCCAGTTTACTCGAGTACACCAACCGCTGCTTGCTTGGGCTCACTCCAAACGCATTTTGGGGCGCTTGATTGTCCAGTCAGAGTAGCTGAAACTTCCACTACCGCAGCTGACATCAAGCCTGAGCTATTTGTTAGCTGAACATGCTTTGCAAGCTCACCTCGGCAACCGGTCCACGGTGAGCTCTGCGAGCGCTGTCTTGAGCTGATCGACAGACGCACGAGGAAATCAGCCGCAATAATCGGAATTTTTGGATTAACTTAAGGCCGTAGCTTTCATTTCCAAAAAGGTTTATGCAGACATCAGCTTGAGAGAGGGCACAGGCAGGAGCGCGAAGATCACGATCGTCAACATTTTTGACATTTCCCGTTATTTGTCTGCCACCTTCCAACACCTCAGGCTTCGGATGTATTTCCACGTGTCATGTCGTCATCCCATGTTGCCGAGCATGTTCTTCGGTGTCGGTGTTGCTGGGCGGTTGCCGACAAGAGATCGTCAGTGTTTTCTTTGCTTGCTTGCCGACGAGCAATACCCTTCCCTCAACCTCTCTTTTACACCGCTTCAACAATCCTCGAGGAAAACGCACGGAGAGAACCGAAAACGAAACGACAATGAGCATCCCCAGCGACCCGTCACAGACCTCGAGCTCGAGCTCTGCCGCAAGCGGCAGCAAGCCGACAGGCCGCAGCCTGAGCGAGATCCTGCAGACGGCGCCGACGGGCGCGGCACACCCCGGCGTCGAGGAGATCCGGAACATCGACCCGAAGGAGGACCAGGAGCGGGTGATTGCGTTCACGAAGGTGAGTCACTCACGAATCTGCCGAGTTGCCGATGGCGCTAGATTTGGCGCAGGGCCTTTGCTCGAGATAAGCTGCGCGCCTGCCGGGCGTACCGGGCGGCCGTGCGCCATGGCGTTGCCTCCGCCCTCTTTTCCTCTTTTTGCTCTGCGCTTCGGAGAGGGGAGGGAATGATGGGAAGCTGAGGAGTTTGGGAAGCAAGCTGACGAACAGGAGGAGCCGATGGGCAAGTGCGTGTTGACTTTCGACAACCCCTCAACACTGATTATCCGACCAGTGTTTCTCAACCCGTTTCAGCTGCATGCCTTTTGACTGGTAAAGCTGACTCCAGGTACACCTTTGACTCGCGACCGCTGCAGTCCCGTGAAGGCGACAAGGTGCAGAAGCTGTGTCGCAAGCTCCCGAACGGATCCACGAGCTGCATCATTGTGAGCAGCTACAAAGGACCGGTTAGCTGACACCGCAGCTCGGACTCGAGACCGAGAAGCTCTTCATGACGATGCAGGGGCAGGGATACTTCTGCGCGCTGCCTGCTGAGCCGAACCAGACGCACATGGAGTGTGTCAAGATCCCGAAGTAAGCGCCGCACATTCTGCACATATACGACCTCGGAAGCGAGAGCGGAGGGGCAAGACGTCGCCGTCTTACTGGAGTCACCATCCCCGGCCAGCGGCCAGGCGTGACTCTGACAGCGTGGGCAAGGCGCCATAGACCAAGCACGTCTCTATGAATTATGCATTGGGAAAAATCTAATAACTACTTGAGTTTTCACTCAGTCTTCTTGGCCGACTCGGCGGCGGCGTGCGTCGCGTCAGAGGCGGGCACGGCCGGCTTCTCCGCCTCGGCCTTCTTGGCCTCGTACTCGGCGTGCTCCTTTGCCATCGTCTTGTCGATGATGGAGTCGAGCGTGGCCTCGTTCGTCGGCTCGTCCTTCGCCTCGGCGGCGCGAAGGCTCTCCTCCACCTTCCTGCCGGCCTCAGTTGCAGCCTTCTCCTGCTCCTGTGCGAGCTCCTCCTCGTCCCTCTCGACCTTGGCGGTCTGAGCGGGCCCGGAGGTGGCGGCCTTGGCGCTGTCCGCCTTGTGGATGGCTGCCTCGCTCTTCTTCGCCTCAGCTAGCAAACGCTGGCGCTCCTTCTCGCCCTCCTCGTCGTCCGCCTTGGCCTGTTCATCGTCCTTCTTCTCCGCCTCGATTGACTCCTTCGCGAGCGTCGTGTCGATGAGCTCGTCCAGCGTCGGCTCGTTCGGAAGCGGACCCGGGGACGCGACCTCCTTCTTGTCCAACTCGACGAGATCCGCGGCCGTACGGCTGTCGCTTTCAACTGGCGGTTCCGCACGCGTCTCCTTAATCGGGGACGTGCCCTCCTCCAGCTCCTCCTTGGCGGCGGTAACCGATGCGGGCTCAGCGGCGAGTCCCTCCACCTTCTGCTCGACCGCGTGTACCGCCTCGCTCGCCTTGTGGCCCAGCTCGGAGACAGCGGCGCCGACAGAAGCCAGGAGGCCCTCAGCCTTCTCCTTCACTGGCGAGGCGGCCGCGCCCGCGCCCTTGTCGGCGGCCGTCGTCGGCGTGCTCTTGGCGTCCGACTTGGTAGGCGAAGCGTCGGCAGCCGCGGTGCTCGAGAAGAGGCCACTTGTCGAGCTGGAGGTGGAGGGAAGATCGGCAGTGCGGCTTGGAGGAGTGCTCGCGCCGAGATCCGCGAGCTCCGCCTCGTCGACGTCATCGACAGACAGGTGATCAACGAGCGAGTCGAGGTCCGCATCCGTCATCTCGCGCATTAGCTTGTCGAGCTCATCCTCACCAATCGTCTGCGACGTCTCCGCCATGTCGTGGTCCTGCCGCAGGAACTTCTCCAGATATCCCATCTCAACGGCCTCCTCGAAGTCGTCCATCGTCTAGGAGTCAGTTACAGCGCGAGCCCAGACAACTTACGCCGATGAACTCTCCGCCGACGAGGTATCCGGGCAGGCCGATAACCTGTCCCAGAGGCTTGGCTCGCTGCCATCGCTTCTTCGCCTCCTCGTCTGTCGCCAGATCGTATTCCTGCATGTCAGTGGAGCACAGACACCGCCGCAGCACGCCAGAAGTCAAAGCCCTGATAGTGCCTGGGTACTCACCTCGTAGGGAATCTCAAACCCTCCGAGAGCACTGTTGGTCAGCTTGGCGGTGACAAGGGGGCAGCCACTCACCGGCGCAGGAGCTCGATGTGCTTGCGCACCTTGGGCGCAGACGTGAGGGAAGTCACCTGCTAGGTCAGCTGCGCTGGATGTCCTATCAGCTCACGTAGATGGAGATGGGCGGGGGAGCCATGGCGATCTCAGAGTATGCGTGTATGAGCTAGCGGGGAGATATGAACAAGTCAACAAAGGATCGTGGTCGCTATCGCATCGGATCGGACGTGTAACGAGCGGCGGGACAGGATCTGGCCCGCATGCAGCCTGGCGCCAGCTACGTAGTACGGGTGTGGGGCCACATTGATTCGCCGCCCGCACGTGACATCACTGAAGGCGGCTAGGTAGTATCACCACGTGGACGAAAGTACACCTGTAACAGTCCGAAAGTGGAGGCGGCGATTCAAGATTTTGGAAGGTGACGCCTGTTCGCGGGGTGTGTTTGTGGTTTCGACCCAGAAATTCAGAGCTACCCACATCTAGCCACACCCAAATTACATCGACATGGCACCGCGCTCCGTTTCTGCGGGGAGCTCCAAGTCGACCAAGGCAAAGGCCAAGGCTGCGCCCGCCCCGGCCCCATCAAAACGCGGCCACAAGCGCGCCGCCGCATCGCCTGAGATCGACGAAGACGAGGATGAGTTCGCCGTCGGCGGAGAGCTCGAGATGAGCGAAGCCGAGGAGGACGAGCAGGAGGATGAAGAGAGCGAGGGAGAGGAGGCTTTCCCTGAGCTCGACAGCGGCTCGGAGGCGAGGAAGTCGAGGACGACGACACGAGCGATGAGGAGGACCTCGACGACGAGGAAGACGGTTCCGAGTCCGGCTACAACTCGTCCGACATTGAGGCGATGTACGCTTCTTCGCCTGCTAGCTCGACGAGCGACCTCCTCGCCTCGCCCAAGTCGGACACCCACGAGCTCACTGTTGACGAGAAGCTGTCCCGGATGATCGCAAAGAACACGGTCAAGCCCGACGAGAACATTGGTGCGGAGGGTCAGCTGTCGAACGCCAAGAAGAGCAAGGGTGTTCTTCGCCCGTCGCGCCTGGTCCCCGGCGGTTACACGCGCGAGTATGACGAGATCGAGGCTGGCTACGGATCAGAGAGCTCGACCGAGGACAACCCGAACACGATCGGCAACGTCCCTCTCGAGTGGTACGACGACCTGCCGCATATCGGTTACGACGTGAACGGACGAAAGATCTTCCGTCCCGCGCGTGGAGACGAGCTCGACAAGTTCCTCGCCAACACGACCGACATTGCGGCCTGGACGAGTGCCGAGGACAAGCTCATGGGCCAGCAGGTCCAGCTGACCGACCAGGAGCTCGACATCATCCGCCGCCTTGAGCGCGGTGAGAACCCCGACGCCGACTTCGACCCGTACCAGTCCACCATTCAGTGGTTCACTGGACCGGGTAACGAGTCTGTCTTCCCGCTCTCCGCTGCGCCGGAACCGAAGCGCCGTTTCGTCCCGTCCAAGTGGGAGCACGCCAAGGTCATGAAGATTGTCAAGGCCATCCGCGAGGGCCGCATCATCCCGAACAAGCCCAAGGTCGAGCAGCCCACGGTGTTCGCGATCTGGTCGGACAACGACACGCCGCACCCCGACCACGCGATGTACATGCCTGCGCCGCAGCTGCCGCCGCCGAAGACGAAGGAGTCGTACAACCCGCCCGAGGAGTACCTCCCGACAGAGGAGGAGAAGAAGGAGTGGGAGGAGCTCGACAAGGAGGACCGGAAGGAAGACTTCCTGCCCGAGAAGTACGACGCGCTCCGTCTTGTGCCCGCGTACAAAAACCTCGTGCAGGAGAAGTTCGAGCGCTGCTTGGACCTGTACCTTGCCCCGCGAACGCGCAAGGTCAAGCTCAACATCGACCCCGAGAGCCTCATCCCGAAGCTTCCATCCCCGCGCGAGCTGCGTCCCTTCCCGACCACGCAGTGCGTGCAGTACCGTCACCCGAAGAGCACGCGGGTGCGCTCTGTGTCTCTCTCGCCAACGGGCGACTGGCTTGCGAGTGGAAGCGAGGACGGAGTTGTCCGCGTGTGGGACGTCGCGACGGGTCGAGAGGTCTGGCGCTGGAACCTCAAGGGCGGAGCTGTGCAGCACGTCGCCTGGTCGCCGAACGGAGAGGAGGGTTTGCTTGCCGCGCTCGTTGAGGGACGTATCGTCATTCTCTCGCCGCTCGCGCTGCTCAACCCCACTGTGGCCGCTACGACGCTGACGCACGCCAACACTGCCTTCGCCTCGTCGGCTGCTACGACGAAGCAGGGAGCTGGCAGCCAGGTCAAGGGTACCGAGAGCGTCAAGTGGGTGCGTCCGGGAGAGGTGCAGCGTGAGCGTGGTGAGCTCGTCTACGTCGACGTGCCGGGTACGCCGAAGCAGGTGTCGTGGCACCGCAAGGGCGACTACTTTGCCACTGTTGCCGCCGATGCGGCGAACAAGGCCGTCCTCATCCACCAGCTGTCCAAGCACGCTTCGCAGTCTCCGTTCAAGAAGACGCAGGGCGCGGTGCAGCGCGTCGCGTTCCACCCGCAGAAGCCGTGGTTCTTCGCGGCCACGCAGCGCTACGTGCGCATTTACGACCTGGCGGCGCAGAAGCTCGTGCGCACGCTCCAGACGGGTCTCAAGTGGATCTCGTCGCTGGATGTGCACCCGGGAGGCGACAACGTCATTGTCGGTTCGTACGACAAGAAGCTGTCGTGGTTCGACCTCGACCTCGGCAACAAGCCGTACAAGACGCTGCGCTACCACACCCGCGCCCTCCGCGCCGTCCACTTCCACCCCAAGCTGCCCCTCTTCGCGTCCGCTTCCGACGACGGAACCATCCACATCTTCCACTCTACCGTGTACGACGACCTCATGCGCAACCCCCTCATTGTCCCTCTCAAGATCCTCCGCGGACACCGCATCACCGACGGCCTCGGCGTGCTCGACCTCAGGTGGCACCCCGAGAAGCCGTGGCTCGTGTCCTCCGGCGCGGACGGAGAGTGTAGGTTGTGGTGTTCTTAGACTTTGGGTTCCTCTGTACGAATATGCATTATCTAGTCTCACCACTGTGCTGCCATGCGCTTACTCATTTGTGTAGAAAACCGGTCAGTCATATCAGTGTGTCGCAACTCGATGTTCCGATTAATGTGTCATGTGCTTCTGCCTTCTACATACATCTACAGACCGGTCTACAGGGAGAGGTAGTCCTTGACCTCCTCCTCGCTGAGCTTGCGGAAGGTGGGCTTCATGCGTTCTCCGTCGGGGACGACGAGCTGCTCGGGGGTGGGGACGGTGACGATGCCGATCTCGATCGTGTCCGGGGTCATCTGGCCCTCGAAGCCCTCCTTGAGGGTGAGGAGCGCGGTGTGGATCGCGTCCTCCAGCGAGAGGTCGTCATTGTACCGCTTCTCCAGGAACGTTTTGGCGTTGACCATGTTCTTTCCGATCGCGCTCGCCTTCCACGCCCAGTACGATCCAGACGGGTCGACCTGATACAGGGACTGGTTGCGGTGGTCGTCCCACCCCGCGATCAGGAGCGAAATACCATACGGCCTGACACCACTGTATCGTCAGCTCGAAGTCCTAGGATCATAGCATCGTCCTACTCACCCAGACTGCGTCGCCTTCTGCATAACCGCCGCAACCTCCTGCACGAGAACCTTTGTGGGAGGGTACTCTCCGTAGACCTTCCAGTACGCCTGCGCAATCTTGCGCGCCTTCGCAACGAGCACACGGAAGTCCGGTCCCATGCCACTGTACACGATGCCGATGTTGGGGCAGATCGTCGCGACCTTCTCAATCACCGACGTGTCGAGCAGCGCCGAAGTCTGCTTCTTCTCAGTCGCGAGGACGACACCGTTCGTCGCTGGATTTGTCAGCTAACACGCGGCGCGAAATCAGCTGGATAGCGTCCAGGGCCCTCCAAAGAGTTCAACGCACCCTTGATACCGAGCGAGGTCGTTCCGCCAGCAACGGCCGCGAGCGCATGCTCGATCTGGACGAGCTTGCCCGACGGCGAGAATGTTGTGAGCGAGAATCTGCTGTCAGCTAACGTTGATGGGACGAGTGAAGCTGAGGGGACAGCGTGCGCCGACTGCCGGGTGAGCGTCCTCCCTTCCAAACTCACGAGTAGGCGCCGCCTCCTCCTGGTGCGGCCATGATGTGCGATGTGGTTGATGAGGGACGCTGACGAGCGTTGATGCCTGGCTTAGCTTGAACAGTGACGAACGCGACAGCGTCAGAGACCTGGCTTGACGGAATGTCTATGCGATACCCCCATTTAGTCACGTGGTGGACATGACGTGCGGATGCGGCAGGACGCGGGTGGGTGACATTGAGATTTCGGAGCAAAAGATCAGCCCCCCCCCCCATCCTGCATTGCATTCGTCAGCTCACCGCCTCTCAACAGGTCAACGACTTTGATACCCATGCCCGCCTCCGTTGGGTTGTGCGCGGTCCGCCGCGTCGGGCTCGGCGTCGGCCGTCTGGCCCCGCTCGCCCGGCCAGGACTCGCCGCGTTCAACTGCCGCGCGCCTTCTCTTCCTCCTCGGTGTCTGAACCTGAACCGCGCGTTTTCGGTCTCTTCCTTCCTGCGCTCTGCCCCTTCGCCGGCACCCCCGACACCCTCTACGCCGCCACCGCCCCCAGAGAAGGAGAAGAAGGAGGAGACGGAGCTGCACGAGTCGCCCTATACGCTGCCGAACGCGCTGACGGTTGCGCGTATCATCGCCTGCCCCTTCCTCGGGTGGGCGATCGTGAAGGGCGACTTTGCGGCTGCGACAGGAATTCTTGCCGCGAGTGGATTTACAGACTGGCTTGACGGCTACCTCGCACGCAAGTGGAACCAGAAGTCTGTCCTCGGATCCATCATCGACCCGATGGCCGACAAAATGCTCATGACGACGCTCGTCGTTGCCCTGACGTATGAGGGTCTCTTGCCTCGTGAGTTGCCCTCGTTAATCAGTGACAGCTGTTATTGTCGACAGATAGCTGACCTCAGTCCCTCTCGCCGGTCTTATCTTCGGTCGCGACCTGGCCCTGTCTCTCTGGGCGTTCTACCTCCGGTACAAATCCCTTCCCCCGCCCAAGACCTGGGCGCGGTACTGGGACCCGTCGATGCCTAGTGCCGAGGTCCGCCCCACGCAGATCAGCAAGGTGAACACAGCGCTGCAGCTGCTGCTCATGGGCGTGACGACTGTCTCGCCGCTACTGCACACCGACATCAGCACGGGTCTGCAGGCCCTGCAGCTCATAGTCGCGACAACGACAATCTGGAGTGGTCTCAGCTACGTCGGCAACTCGGGCTTCAAGATTCTGAAGCAGCCGCTGAAGAAGAACAAGTAAACGCACTCTCCATTCTCCGCATCGCAAAGGCTCAAAGCGAACCCGCTCCGCACTCAACTCGGCATCAGGCAAACTGCAACAGACTTGGGGAATCCTCGGAACAATCTTTTTGCATACTCATGAACAGACTGCATGTATTTCTACCACTAGGCATCGTTGCTGCGCTCATTATATGGGATTGCGCAGCGCGGTGCAGACTCCGGCGGCAGGCTGCTGCTCACCTAAAGCAGAAACCGGGGTACACCGGGTCCTCGGGGTCGATGTAGAACTCAGACTTGGCCACGAGATTGGCCCTCCCGCGAACACGGGCCACGCAGCCTGGGAAGTCTGTCGGCGACTCGGCCGGCTTGTCGATAGTAGCGCGGAAGGTGGTGCCGACAATACTCTCGTGGATGAGGACCGAGCCCTCCTTCATTTTGCCCTCGGCGAGGAGGCTGGCGACGCGCGCCGCGGTGCCACTTCCGCAGGGACTGCGGTCCAGCTCCCCATCCGCAAAGATAGTCACGTTGCGCTGACGGACCGCGTCGCCCTCGCCCTTCACCTCAGCACGCGAGTTTGGTGGCAAGTCCTCGTAGAAGATGACGCCGTAGAGATCGTAGTCGCCGTAGATGCGCATATCGTTCGGGGCGAGGGACGCCTTGATCTGCCTCGCGAAGGAGATGAGCGCTTCGTGGTTCTCCGGCCTGACCACGAGTGGGGAGGGCATGGTGGCGTACACTGCGCCGGCGAAGGCAAGGTCGACCTTTGTGTCCAAGACGGAGACGTCGCGCTTCAGAACATAGGAGGGCACGGAGACAAAGTCGGTGTACTCCACCTTGCCGTCCTTCATGTGCACGTCGGCCTTGACGCGTCCGCTGGGGACATCGATGATGACCTCGTTCAGGCCCTCCTTCGGCTCCACAATATGGTGGTGCACGGCCCAGGATCCGAGCGCGATCGTACCGTGCCCGCATGCCGTGGAGAAACCGTCCTTATGCCAGAACAGAACGCCAAAGTGCGCCCCCTCGTTGGCCGGAAGGAGGAAGCAGCCGTACATGTCTGCATGGCCGCGGGGCTCTAGGCAGAGCGTCTTGCGCAAAGTGTTGAGGGGATGGTTACCTTGCGATGCGACTTGATGCCTGAAGTCGGCGACTGAGGGGATCGACTCTGGCAGCATCGACGCTGGTGGGCGCACGATGCGGAACGGCTCGCCGGCCGTGTGCCAGTCCTCGGCCTGCAGCCAGTAGGGCTCGAACGACTTGCTGCTGCTGCTGCTCGTCGTCATGGTGGTGAATGTGGTTGATGAGAAAGTGCAGCGGTGTCCGCAGAAGCATATACACCGCAGAGACCGCAGTGTCCGCAGACAGGTGAGGCTGATCACAAGACGGATGACGGGATGACGTACGGACGTCGCCGATGTCGGCTTTCAGGCACCGGCGCGGTCACCGGCTGTCTCTCGCTTCTTTCGTGAAGCAATACTTCTCACGCCCAAGACGTGCATGCAGCACACACTGCAGACACTCACCAGTGAGATGTTCATCGTATGCATATCCAACTCTAGCGCTATCTGCTCCTACCTCGCTGATGTGCTCGTTGCAAAAAACGGACCGATGCGAACGGGAATTCAAGTACGGACGCCACGTGCGCGAACGGGAAGAATGCAAGTGGCCGAGATCGAGATTTGATAATCGCACCGCGAATGCGGGGTGGTGTTGATATGATCGTCTGACTAGCCTCGTCTTCCTTCTTCCCACTCTTCTCGTTTTGCACCATCTCATCAGTTCCGCCAACTCACACTCTCTCGCACGACTGATAAGGAAAGCAAGGGAACCACGATGGCAGCCGCTCAACCCCTCAACGTGTTTCACGACCTGAAGGACGTATACCCCGCGCAGACGTTGCCGAAGGAGGAGTGAGTACATCGCAGCTGCGACGTGTGAGGTGAAGCTGACAGACAGAGCACGATGGGCAGACTTGGTCTCCCGGTTTGAGAAGGCCTACGGCGCAAAGCCAACGTACATCGCCCGCGCGCCTGGCCGCGTTAACATCCTCGGCGAGCACGTCGACTACTCTCTCTTCGTGCGTTAGCTTCCCCGTCGCCGCTAACGCCCAGCCCGTTCTCCCCGCCGCGATTGAACAGGACATTTTGATTGCGCTCCGGCCAACGACCGATCTGCGGGTCCGTATCGCCAACGTCGACGACAAGTTCAAGCCGGCATCGTTCGAGCTGAAGCATACCGACAAGGGATGGGACGCGGGTCTTGTGCCCGTTAACGAAGGAGGTGGCTGGGAGAACTACGCCAAGGTCGCTATCCTCGAGTGCCTTGCGCGCTTCTTCCCTGATGGTGCACGAGACGGCAAGCCTCCCGCCGGCCTCGACCTCATGATGGCGGGCAACGTGCCGCCCGGCGCTGGTCTCAGTGTGCGTATTGCAGCTGTTGGAGGACCCGGTAGCTTACAAGCAGAGCTCGGCCGCTTTCGTGGTCGCCAGCGTCATCATGTTCCTCGCCGCGAACAGCATTACGGGTCTGACGAAGGGCGACGTTGTCAAGCTCGCCATCGCCTCGGAGCACAGGATGGGTCTGAGAACAGGCGGTATGGACGTGAGTTTGCTGATGCGACTCCGTAACTAACCCCAGCAATCGGCAAGTGCGCTTGGCATGGCCAACTCGGTGTTGCACCTCTCCTTCCACCCGTCACTCGAGGCTACCCCGCTCCCGCTTCCGCCCCAGCTCGCAGTGGTCATCACGAACTCACTCGCGCCGCACGGTCTCGTCGACGATGCGCCGGAACGCTACAACCTGCGTGTTGTCGAGGTGCTGTGTGCGTCCCGTCTCCTGCTGCATGCCTGGGGCGTGGACGACCCGCGCGCCGTGGCCGGCGAGGAGGGACGGGTCTGGCTCCGCGAGGCGGTCGACCTGCGGGAGAAGCAGTCCTCGGAGAAAGAGATGTACGAGCGTGCTCTCTCTGACCTGGACACTGTGCTCGGAGCCGACGGCCGAGCCTCAAAGGGATGGAGCAGGGACGAGATGGTGTCTGCCTCTGGCATGTCCAACCCGACTTTGAGAAGACGTACCTCGACTTCATCCCCGTCCGCTGCGAGCGTTTCCAGCTCTACAAGCGCGCAAAGCACACGTTCGAGGAGTCTTTGCGTGTAGCCCGATTCGCGGAGCTGTGCAACGAGATCGCCTCTGACCCGTCCAAGGCGAACGCCGGCGCCGAGGAACTGGGCAGGCTGTTGAACGGATCGCACGAGAGCCTCCGTGACCTCTTCGATGCGACGGTGCCGCAGGTTGAAGAGCTGAGGGATATCTGTCTGAAGAATGGAGCGCTCGGAGCCCGGCAGACGGGTGGAGGATGGGGAGGGGCGGTCATCTCGCTGCTGCCTGCGGACCAGGTGCCCGATTTCGTGGCGAGGGTCACGAAGGAATACCCCGCGTACGAGGGGCTGAGCAAGGAGAAGATGGCCGAGGTCGCGTTCGCGAGCATGCCTGGGTCGGGGGCGGGTGTGTACAAGGTGCCCCAGTAATGCATAGAAGGTCTTTAGATGTTGGTATGTTATGTTCTAGTCAGATTCTTCGACAGGTCGATGGGGGATGGAGTTGTGCATATAATATATTCATGGCGACTCATGATCGAGGCACGAGGGTGCAGCACTGGGGGATGGACAGGCACGACGGTATGCATGGTGAATTTTGCGATCCGTCGGCGTGGGGGTGTGTGTGCCGCTGTCTCGCTGCCGCTGCCGTTAGAGCGGTGTTCAGGCATCCCGCCTGTATTTTGGCCCAGGTACATACATTGATTCATCCGCCACCCGCACACATCGCAATCGTGCACTCAGCGGGCGGATACGCTGGACAGCGAGCGACCTAGACACAATTTCCTTTCTCCTCTTATCATCATCCCACCACCACCACTCTCCGACTCCGTTCGGCACACAAACAATCGTTAAGGATCAGAAAGAGTGAGTCAATAACAACAGAAGGAAAGAAGAGAAAGAAAAGAAAACGTGCCACGCAACACGACACATCAGCTCCTCCATGGCATCTTGGCGGAGAGTCTGGCGGCGGATGGCGGCGTGCGGCGTACATGCCGAGCCCTCGTCAGGATTTTAGTCTCGCTCGATCTCCGACGTGGACCGTACCCCCCTGCTCCCAGCCAGCTACACGCCACCCGGACATTGCGACTTCGACATGGGCATGACATGCTATGCACATTCATCCACGTTTCTGGTTTACATTTCTCTTCCTTCCTCTCTCTCCATCTGGCTTTGTGCCCCTTCCCGGTCCACACGCCGCTAACACGCAAGACCGCCCCGTTCTGTTGATCCACCCCGTCACTCCTTTCACCCCAGGCAGTGCATGACTCTGGCGTCCTCAGGTCCCTCCCGGTCGCCCTCCCCCTCCCTCTCCTCCACCCCATCGCAGACCGACACCGACGGCCCGCCCCCTCCGCACGGCATCGATCTCGCCTCCCTCCGCCGACGCGTGCGCGCCGCCTCCTTCTCCTCCTCCAACTCTCCCCCTTCTCCCAAAGCGGCCAAGGACGACATGTTCAACCGCAACAGGTACCAGCAGCTGCCGACGAACAACAACGGCCAGCGCCGCCGCGCAGGCGGATTAACCGCTTGGAAGCGGTATGCCCTCCTCGCCGTCGCGGGCGCTTTCATCGTGTTCACGGCGTTCGCCCTCTTTACTCCGGGCGGCAACAACAGCGTTGGATACGAGGAGACTCCGCGTGAGTTTGACCTCAGCTTTGTGACAGTGGTTCGTAGCTGACGACAGAAACGTACACGCCCAACCTTGACGACACCAAGGTCGCGCAGCCGGACCAGGGCGACTACTATGAGCAGGACGAGTACAAGTCGCCGCCGCTGCTTCCCATCGACAGCGAGAACAAAGAGGACGAGCACAAGGACGAGACGATGAACATTCTCCCCGTCGGCGACCTGGACCCGACGAAGCAGAAGGGCGACGCGGCCGAGCACGACAAGGTGCCGACGCAGGACAACGGCGAGGTTCCCAAGCCCGTTGGCGGCGAGGAGGACCTCGAGGACGACAGCGGTGTTTCGAACGTCGGCTTCAACCACCCGACGTCCTTCGAGACGGACAAGGACCCGCGCACGTCGACGTACTGCACCAAGCCTTACGACCCCTCCAAGCCGATCGTGCAGTACGTCCTCACGATTGACGCGGGCTCGACCGGCTCACGTATCCACGTGTACAAGTTCCACAACTGCGAGGAGATGCCCCAGCTCGAGTACGAGACGTTCAAGATGCTGAATCCGGGTCTGTCGGCGTTCAAGTCTGACCCGCAGGCGGCGGCGCACTCCCTTGACCCGCTGATGGAGGAGGCGAAGCGCGTGATCCCCGAGGACATGTGGGGCTGCTCTCCCGTCGAGGTCAAGGCGACTGCCGGTCTTCGCCGCCTGGGCACTAAGGAGGCTGACGCCATTCTTGCCGCCGTCCGCTCGCATCTCGAGAAGGACTACAAGTTCCCTGTCGGCGGCGACGACGCTGTCGAGATCATGGACGGCAGCAAGGAGGGTGTCTATGCCTGGATTACGGCCAACTACCTCCTCAAGAACATTGGCGAGGGCACCAAGTCGAAGGAGACGCTGGCGGTGATGGACCTCGGTGGAGCGTCGACGCAGATCGTGTTCGAGCCGCAGTTCGCCACGCCCGACGAGCACATGATCGACGGCGACCACAAGTACGAGCTTTCGTTCGGCGGCAAGAACTACTCGCTCTACCAGCACTCGTACCTGAACTATGGCCTGATGCAGGCGCGCCGCAGCGTGCACAACCTCGTCGCGTTCACGTGGTCCTTCTCGCAGTCCACGCTCGACTGGGACAAGCTCTCGGAGAAGCACGAGATTGCCAACCCCTGTCTCTCGCACAGCACCTCGCGCCTCGTCACGCTCGACCCGCCCGGCCGCTCCCCGGTCAATGTGACGATGCACGGCTCGAACGGCGACTACGACGCGTGCAACCGCCTCGTCGAGCTCGTCATGGCGAAGGACGCCGTGTGCGAAGTCAAGCCCTGCTCCTTCAACGGCGTGTACCAGCCCGCGCTAATCGACACCTTCCCGCGGGGCAAGTTCCTGGCCCTGTCCTACTTCTACGACCGGATCGTGCCCCTCCTCTCCGGTTCCACGGAGGGCGGCAAGATCACGCTGGGCGAACTGAAGAAGATGGCGCAGGACGTGTGCGCGGGCCCAGAGAGCTGGAAGAAGCGCTGGGGCAGCGACGAGAAAGCCATGGCCGAGCTCGAGGATCGCCCCGAGACCTGCCTCGACCTCACGTTCATGCACGGCCTGCTTGGGCTCGGGTACGAGCTGCACGAGGAGCGCGAGCTCCTGCTCGAGAAGAAGCTGAGCGGCGTCGAGCTCGGATGGGCGCTGGGTGCCGGTCTCGCGCTGGTCGAGAAGGCGGAGCTCAAGTGTCTTGCGTAAGCCGAGCGCGCAGCGCGAGGCCGCGAGGGCGGGCGAGGGCGGGCGAGGACCGCTGATACCCGCGGGCACCAAGACGGCGCTCACGGATGAGCGAGCAAATGTAACAAACAAAACGTCGCAGCTGAATCTCACACACCGGTTGCGTCACATAACCAAACCCCCCCTTATTTTCCGATTTCTTATCCTCCCTTTAGCCCGTTGGGTACCTGATAGACATAGCATGCACTTTGCTTAGTAGACAGACAGTCTGGAGCGAGCCGTACTCGGCGCGCAACCGCGATGTCGGCCTCTCGACTGGTGAGAGCCATGAAGGGCTGAGACATGTTTGGTGCGAGAGTTCGGAGCTAGGGAGGAAACGAAACGAGGTTGCGATCTCCTGCTGCGGGCGTTAATAAGCGTTTGGTGAAAGTGCTTGTGCGGGTTGGGAGGTTTTGCAGCGTGTCACCCACTGTGCACTCGAGAAGTGTTGAGGTGGCAGCGAGGGAGCGAGGGAGCGAGGGAGCGAGGGAGCGTGTCAGCGCAAGAGAACGTGTGTGTCAGCATGATTAGTTGTCACAGACTAAGCAGCAGTTGAGCCGTTGGTGATAAAGTTGGGTGCAGAGTGCCATGACCCAGATTCTTGGGCCCCGTTCATTGCTCCCCTACTGGTTCATACTGGTTCGGAACGGGGTTGGCTGGTCGGGGCTCACGGGGTATGGTCTGACGGAGCTGACGAGAGAGCGGAACGACATCGTCTCGCATGTCACACACATCTTTATAGCCCGCCTGGTTGCTCTGCATGCGCTGCAGTCTGTAGAGTCTCGCCCGTGTCGCCCGTGTCGCCCGTGTCGCCCGTGTCGACCGCATGGCCACAGGTCGAGGGAGGAATGCCAAAGTCGAGTTCCAGCGACGGGTGCGAGGGGCCGGGGGATGAAACTAGGTTCAACTCTGGGCCCGTCTCCGGACCGTGGACCCTGTGCCTCTGCCCTAGACTGCCTTTGGAGCAGATCGAGCAGAGTGACGTCTCAGCATGCTCAGCCATGCACAGTGGCCAACCCGGCAGACCCAAGGCTCACGCGAAAGGTATTGAATTGTTACACGTTCCCTAATTCATTGTCGGGCCTGGCAATTCCACTTCACAACGCGTCGCTCTGTCATCAACTTGGTTATGGCATCAACCCCCCATAGTGCCATTCTGCACGGACTCACTGATATCAAGGATTGCAGACTAGATCGTCTAGTGCCGGGGGCTTGGATGAATGCACACGAGTCCGCTAGCCTGTGGCTGAGTTGCCACATCAGCGTTGCAGGTGGGCACGAGCGAGTCACTTCACTTGGGTTGCGGGAAGAGTGTCACAGGATCCGTCCCTTGCTCTGCTCTCATGTGTTGTCTGTCCTCTGCTCGTCTGCCTCGTGCTGCCTTGTAACTTCCCCGCATCTGTCCTCCTGATCATCCCAATCCCCATCCCCCTGCAGCCGTCGCGTCTCAGATCATCCTCTTGGTCCAGACACACTCAAACGGTCCGACCCAGACTTGCCGAGACATCTCTCGTAGTGTCGTCCCAGCTGTCCCAGGTAGAACCTACTTGTTGACAACGACTGGATGCAGTGTGATTCCAGCTGCTCAAGCTTTGGAAGAAGCACCGGGTGCAAACATACTACGACTAACAAGGTTGCGGAGTACTTGGACTGCATGGCTGCACCACACGCGCGTGCGCGACCTCGGCGTCCCCGCGAGCCCGTCAGCCCGCTGCAGCCCGCACCCCCGCTCCCCGTCCGGGCCTCACGGGCAACTTGAGCAAGGCACATCAAGATGCTATACGCGCTGCCAGGACAGGGGAAGGAGGGAGAGAAAGCAAGCTTACACCGAGGGCCCAGCTACGTCCCCGTCAGCACCCAGCATGAACAGATGCATGCATGGAAGCTTGCCACCGCCGCATCATTCTCTTGGAGAACAGCAATCAGCATCAGTCATCCTCGACAACGTTTCCAACGTTTCAACGACAGCATTACTCTCCGATCCTCGCTCCTTGAACCTGTGCATCTCGAACCAACACTCCTGCTACTCCTGGCGTCTAATCGACACTTCGCGACCGACCGCCCCCCCGATCCACACGCACGCCAAGCTACAGCACGACCGAGCTCTGAGCTTCTCGCCGAGCACCCCGAGCATACTGCTGCCTGCTCATCAAGCACCACGCACCGAATCGCAGCTTGGCGCCCAGCAACCCCAGCTTGCCCCCAGCTCGAGCCCCCGACACATTCGACGCACCGCCCGACCCACCACTCGAGTTGCAACGAAACTCGTGACTTGCTCGTCTTGCTCAGTCGCTGAGAGACGAACGCACCCAAAACGGAAGGACGAGGATTACAGGCAGGACCGAGCGTCATTTGCCCTCTGGACATCCTCTGTCTGCCCGCCGAGCGAACAGTTGACAAGTCGAGCCTGCCCGACTGTCCCACTGTCCGACCGTCGAGCGATCGAGTGACTGTCCGACCGACAGTCGCCTACACACAGGTCCACACCAGGTCCGAAACGCCCGTGACGCCTGCACCACAAGCGTCTGGGCACCGACAGTCCTACGGACCCGCCCCTCTCCTGCTTATCGACAGACGCGCGCCGGACCGTGCATACTGCGCCTGCTACGCCTCAGCACATACCCCGTTGTGTGCCTCGACCGACCGGACCCTACCTTCCTCTGACGCTACCTGACGTCTCGCCTGACGTCGCCCGAGGCCTGACCTGAGCTTTACCTGACGTCTCACGTCTCACGAGAGCGCCAGACGAGAAATCCAGTGTTTCCGACGAGCACACTTCGCTGCGGACAGACGCTCGTGCACGCTTGCTCGACACGAACGCAACGCCACTTGTTTGCCTGCCCTGCTGGACTGCCCAGCTGTCAAGCTTCTGCAAAAACCCAGATCTAGGTGTGCTTCCGAGCACTGACTGCTTTACGACGTCGTCCCAGAGGTCTACCTGGCCCGTTCGAGCAACCCACCGCTCCCCTCCCACGTACCCCACTGCAACCCTACGCTCCCTGCTCTCCCTGCGCTTCCTGGGCTCCCCACATCCACCCTCGCCCACGCTCCCTGCTGCTTTCCCTCAGCATTACACTCCCTACGCTTCCGACCGCCGCCTGCGCCGCCTACGCCGCATCCGAGCCAGCCCAGCCAGCCCAGTCAGCTCACCTGACCCGCGCCGGCCCCTCGTCGCCCTTTGCCCTACGACCCACCAACTCTAGTCGCTCCCTACCAAGCCGTGCCGGTTGTCTCCACACAACCCGCACGCACATCGACCCATCGTCATTCTCTACAACTCGACGCACGCGTTCCACACCTACTCGAATGGGATCATGCCGATAAGCCTGCGCCGGCGCACCCGCCGCCCCTCGCCTGAGCCTGCGCCAGCGCCGTCGCTCGGCGCACTCAGCCTGCCGGACCTAACCGCGCCATTGGTCGATACGGACCACTGGCCGCCGCCCGTGCCGCCCGTCCCGAGCGGACATGTGCGCGGAGGTTCCGGAGGTGGCGGGGGCGAGAGGGGCATGCCCGGCATGGTCGGGCTGGGCATCAGCGCGACAGGACGCAGGGACAGCGGCAGCGCAAGCCTCAGCACCAGCGTGCCCAAGGACGCACGCCTGAATGGCCAGCAAAGCTCATTCGGTAAGCCCGGGGTTGGGAACCCGTGGGGCGCGAAGCGGTGGACGCAGAGCGCGACTAGCATGCACGGGCGGAGTGGGAGTGGAGACCGCGGAGGCCGAAGCGGAGGGGGCCACAGCCGACACGGCAGCGGTAGCACCGTGACTGGTGGCCACGGACACCAGCGGCAAGGAAGTAGTAGTAGCGGCTACAGAGAACACCGCGAGTGCGGAGGAGCCGGGTACGGACCAGCAGTGTACGGTACCTGCGGCGGCCCAGGGGGTGGGTGCGGCGTGCCGCCCGTCCCGCCCCTGCCGGGCGTGGTGCCGGAGAGTGTGGCGTCTTGCTCTGCGCGCGACTCGCAGTCGACGATCAACCTCTCCGGTATCCCAGGGATGGGCGAGAGCACCACCACCCTGCCCTTCGGCGACAGTACCCTCTCCCCCTACTCGGCCTACGGGTACGGCGCGTACGGCGGGTCGCAGACGTTTCCCCGCTCTCCCACATTAGGATCAAGTACTTACCCATCTGCAGAGAGTCTCAGTCTTTTGTCCAAATCACGCGCCAGTCAACAGCAACAGCAACAGCAACAGCAACAGCAAAACCTCCCGTCGTCCCCCAGGGGAGGGCGCGCTCCAAGCCTCGTGAAGGATGTGAATGGCGCAAGCCCCGAATTTCACCGACCGTTTGCACAGAATGTCGTCTCCCCGCCCAAGATCCCCACCGCCCTGCCTGGCACCGTTAGCGCGAGGAAGAGGGCGCAGAAGCGCGTTGCCGCGCTCACCATCATGGTCGCCGGCCCGACAGGGAGTGGCAAGACCTCGTGAGTCGTTCACACCCCTATCCCCTCTCCCTCTCCCTGCCCCCCTCTCACTGCGATTGTGGCAGTAGCTGCGTGTAGAATGACCTAGCTGACGCCCAGCTTCATCGAAGCCCTCACGTCCGTGCTGGACCCGAATCGACGCCGCCTCGCCGTGCGCATGGGCCCCACAACCAGTGTGGTCCGGCACGAAGTGGTGGGCACGTCGGACCGCGTGCGCCGCCACTTTGTGATTCTCGACACGCCCGGTCTGCCCAGTAACGACATGGTCACGACGCCGATACGCGGCAAGGCGCTGAATGCCCTGATTGCCATTCTGGAGGAGAGGCAGGCACGCCTGCTCGATGAGGAGACCAAGGTCGTTAGGCGGAAGAGCGACGGAGGCGAATTGGTTCATCTGGGTGAGTGAGACAAGCCCAGACAAGCCCGCAGGGCTTGGCTATTGCAACCCGTCTGGCTGCAGCAGAAGAGGGAGGTAGTGGCCGGTTACAGCTGCACTTGTGCTCGCTCCGCTCGCTCCGCCCGTGCTCGCTAACGCTCGCAGTCATCTACGTCATCGACGCACGCACGATTCTCACCCCGCTCGCCAAGGTCGACATTGACTGGGACACAGTCCAGGAGCCCCCGCCCTGCGGGCCTAGTACGCGGCCAGAGTCGGAGCTCCTCGAGGCGGACCCCACAGGGGTCGACGCGAGGCTGCATCTGGACGACATTGAAGCGGTGAGTCCCCCCTTCGTTCGAGCTCGAAGAGTTTCAGGGATCACAGCTCATGACAGATCCGGCGCTTCTCTGCGCGCGCCAACGTGCTGCCGATCCTCACGCACGTCGACGCCTTGACTACCGGGGAGCTCTTCGCCGTGCGCCTCGCCGTGAAGCGCGATCTGGCGACCGTCTTCGGCAAAGACCCCCTGGGGGGCTGGGGCGTGCTGACGGCCGGGCAGGATTTCGAGCCCTTCGAGCCCGGGTCCGAGACGCCGCCGCCGTTCTCCTCCGAACTCGCGTCTGTGTCCGAGGACGCGGACGCGGACGCGGACGCGGACGATGGGTCGAGTACCGAGGGCGAGGAGAACGAGGGGGGTAGATTGGAGCTGCCCTACGGTGTGTTCAGCCCCGAGCCTGGGCTCGGGTTCAACCGCAAGTTTAGGTGGGGCAAGGCGAACGCGAGCAACTACAAGCACTCGGATCTGCCGCATGTTCGCGATGGCATCATTCAGGCGACCGAGTGGCTGAGGACGAGCACGAGGGAGGTCGTGTATGAGCGCTTCAGGACCGAGAGGCTGTTGAATGCCAAGGGCGTCAAGTCGCTGCGCATCTAGTGCTCCACACCACACCCTCTCTCCCTCTCACCTTGGTCACCACCCTTCTCCCACTCTCCCCTCACCTACAGAATCCTCTCTCATCTCCGAGTCTAGGCCAACCAACCCTAGCAACAGTGGCCACCGCGGTGGCCGGTCCAGCTGGCTGGACCACCAAAACGACATCAGCTGTCACCCACATCACACAAATCTTTATAGTTGTTATCTTTCCTTGACATCCCACGTTCTTGATATCCCTCGGTCCATCAGCCGACCCAGCGCAGACATTGGGCCGCGCAGACAGTCTGACTAGTATTACAATGCATAATCTGTGTACACCCTGATCGTCTATCCAGCAGGCAAGGCACGAGGAGCTGGAGGTGGAGGTTCGGGCCGCAAATCCTGGTGCTCGGCTCAGCTCGGCTCAGCAGCAGACGCCCAGGCTCAGCTGCCAAAGCAGGAGCGGAGTAGCAGCTGCGCCTCGCCGCTCACAGCTCGCTGCGCTCGCTGTTCGCTCCTCGGCTTACTCATCCATCCCCTCCTCGAGGTCCTTGGGCATCTTGGGCTCCTCGTCCTCGCCATACTGCATCATGTTGTCGACATGGGAGAGCACGGTGTTGACGCTGTCCTCGTCCGTGACGTCGAGCGGGAGGAAGGAGACAATGTTCTGGTCCTCAATCAACCCAACGAGGGCCTTGTTCAGGTTGTGGAACCGCTCATTGGAGTGCGTGTCCTCGTCAATGAGCCCTGGGTCGGGGTCGAGATACCGCCCGACTTCACGCTTGACGCGCCCCTTGTCGTCCTTGATCAGGTCCATCTTGCTCATCAGGCAGAGCATGCTGATGCCGAGCGACAGCATGCACGACATGGCACTGAGCACGCCGGCAAAAAACTTGGACTTGTCCTGGATGAACTGCGACTCGAGGAGGTAGACGGCAGACACGCGGTAGTTCAGCCGCCGTTGCAGGAAGTTGGCAAGCTGCGGCAGCAGAGGGATGTGCGTGTACAGCTCGATCTGGCCTGGACAGTCGATGATGAGGTACTCGTCCTCGTACTGCCTCGCCATACTGCATCATGTTGTCGACATGGGAGAGCACGGTGTTGACGCTGTCCTCGTCCGTGACGTCGAGCGGGAGGAAGGAGACAATGTTCTGGTCCTCAATCAACCCAACGAGGGCCTTGTTCAGGTTGTGGAACCGCTCATTGGAGTGCGTGTCCTCGTCAATGAGCCCTGGGTCGGGGTCGAGATACCGCCCGACTTCACGCTTGACGCGCCCCTTGTCGTCCTTGATCAGGTCCATCTTGCTCATCAGGCAGAGCATGCTGATGCCGAGCGACAGCATGCACGACATGGCACTGAGCACGCCGGCAAAAAACTTGGACTTGTCCTGGATGAACTGCGACTCGAGGAGGTAGACGGCAGACACGCGGTAGTTCAGCCGCCGTTGCAGGAAGTTGGCAAGCTGCGGCAGCAGAGGGATGTTCGTGTACAGCTCGATCTGGCCTGGACAGTCGATGATGAGGTACTCGTCCTCGTACTGGCCCAGTTCCTCCTCGAGCCAGTCCAGGTTGTTCAGGAGATACCTGGAGTCAGCTCGAAATCCACGCACGAGAAGCTGGGCCATCTGCTCTCCTTCCCCAAGCTCTCCTCCTCTCGTCCGACACATTCGACCATATCCGCAGCCATCGTGGGCCACAGTTTACTCACTCAAAGCAGTACACAAGACCACCGTTCGGTCCAAACTCGAGCTCCTCCATGACGTCCTCGAGCGAGATCAGGTCGCGAATGTCGAGCACAGGCTTGTACTCAAACTTGTCGGCTGCGGGATCGAGGTTGACCAGGTGCACCTGCCTGTTCATCGTCTGCGCGTGCGTGATGAGCGCATTGCAGAAGGTGCTCTTGCCCGCGCCGGCGGGGCCGGTGACGAGGACGGCGTAGCGCATGACAGCGTGGGTGTCGCCGTTCTTCTAGGTATTGGTGGCCTACGCGAGATCGGGGAGGGTATGCAGGAGAGTTAAACCGATACCCGAGAGTTGAGAATGCTTGCGGAGACCAGAGACGGGGTTCGGAGACGGCGAAGGATGAAGATTTCGATGGACGGGGCGGTCCGTCGAAGGTGAGAGACGTCATAGAAACACAACACACCTTTCGGCGGCGGGCGAAATCTTCAGTGACCACGTGGTCTCCGCTCATGGCCGGCGAAGGTCTTGTGCCTGACGCTGTTGCCTGGCCCTGATCCTGAGCTAAGCGGCGTCACGATCGCGTTGGCCCGTACAGTGGACCTGGACATCGCGAATCGCCATTTCCGACTTTTCATCTTCCTCCCAACCATCAACAACACGACCATGTCCAAGGACACTCAGCAGCAGAACAACAAGGACCAGGGCAAGTACGCCTTTGAGCCCATCCACCCCTTCAACATGGAGGACCCCAAGTCTTGGTGAGCTGAAAGCTTGAGACAGTAGCTGACATCAGGGCTTCCACGATCGGCATGATGAACTGGGACAAGTGAGTCGGACGGTGGTAGAGCTACAGCTGAGCGGGAACTAGCTAACCCCGCAGCGACAAGATTGTCTTCTCGAAACGCTCGCTCCTCGAGTTCCTCAAGTCGTGCCAGGTCTCTGTCAACACCAACTTCACCGAGATCTCCAAGCTCGTGAGTTATCGCTTTGCTGGCCGAACTGACCGCACAGCCCAGTACGTCCGCGCCCTGCTCGACCCTCGAAGCTTTCTAACCTCCAGAGTACGCCACGTTCGGTCGCCTGTCCAAGGCCGCTACCGACGCCGCTGTGCGCGACCTCGTCGACGTGAGCTCAATCGCTGAGATCTCTGAGCTAACCCACAGGCTGAGATCGCCGACCCCACCGAGCCGGCGGAGAGGAAGAGCCCCGTCGACGCGGCGGGCAACCCCGTCCGTCCCTCGCGCAAGGTTATCGACCCGCCCGGGGGCAAGACGTCGTTCAGCGTCACGGGTGACGAGTACGCGGAGGCGGACGCCCTCTCGCTCGCTCCGGCCAAGGACGGCGGCGTCGACGTCGACATCGACCGCATGCAGCACCTCAAGCTGCACGTCGACGAGGAGGTAGACGGCGGCGCGCACATCGAGGACATCCCCGACAAGCCCCAGGCCAAGCAGCAGGAGCAGGACCGCGTCGTCAACGCGCCCTCTGGATTCAGGCCTACCCGCAAGGTCCGCGAGGGTGAGCTGTCATTGTGAGATCGAGCTGACAAACAGGACCCGGAGGCAAGAGCTCGATGGGCTCTGTGCTGTTCGGCGGATACGAGGACGAGACGGAGGAGGACCGCCAGGCCGCCCGCGCCCCGACCGGCGGTAAGCGCCATAGCGACAAGACGGTGAGTACGCGCGCGGAGCGCAGCGAGGCGTGAGGCTGCAGCGGCGAGCGAAGTCTCCGGGTACGAGGGAGGAAGGTGCGCGGCGTATGTCGTGGGCAGCGCGTGTGCCATCTGGAACTCGACCAGAAGTGTTTGTTTGTGTCCGATCAGCACCAGAAGCGAGCGCCCAAGCCCTCCAGGCCCATCCAATGTCACCTCCCCCGCTCGAGCCGCCTCTCTCTTCGCTTTCCAGCTACGCAGATTATGCAAAAGCTGACGCCAGGCTTCCCAGGGCCTCTGGTAACCGCAAAGTCGATTCTGTAGTCCATTATGCATTGTGTCCTTTCTTCATTCTACTCGTACTGCTACCTTGCGTTCTTGCCCTACGGTGGGCACGGAAAGTCCCAAAGTCAAGGGTCGGAAGCAAACCAGTGATCAGTGACGACGGCGGCGTCCCCTTCGCACCCTCGGGCGCGGGGCAGACTTGCGGCGATCACCACGTGGCCGCCCCGATCCCCCCCCCCCCTTCCTCTCCTCTCCGGGAGAGCGATGACGGCACCCGTGCCTCGGTGCCTCGCCAGCTGTGCCGCCAGCTCATGCCGAGGAAGGATGGGACTTGGCAACAGACGTGTCAACAACCCTTTTCGTCAACCTCCACATACACCCCAGAGCGACAACGAAAGATGGACCGCATCCAGCAGAATCCGGAAGAGCTCATGCGGTTCGCGAACATGTAAGTGCATTTGCATGCCGAGCCGGAGGCGAGGCGTGCAGGCGTGCAAGTGATCTCAGGGTGGGATGGAAGGAAAGAGCAAGGGCAGGTCGGCGTCTTGATGGGATCGGTGAGCTGGCATGAGCTGGCATGGCTGGAAGGAATCGAAGCACGCCCAGCTGGGCCGCAAGTCTGGCTTCCATGGCTTCCATGCGCAGCTGGTAGCTGGGTAGCTGGGCAAATGGGCTGATGGGTGTGCACGGTTACTCCCATCTCGCCACCTGCCCTGTTCGAGCCGATCGAGCACTCTATCGACAGCTGCCGAGCCAGCCCGCACTGCCCACTGCCCACCGGCCCCAACGACCAGTAGACCCTCTGACCCCTGACCCAAGCTGAGCGTGTGAGAGAGTTGAGCTGACCTTCCAGCGCGGTCGGCGGACTCGCCATCGCGGGCGGCGTGGGGAGTATCATCAACCTGAGCTTCTCCTCGATCATTATCGGCGTGTACGAGCTCATGTAAGTCGCCTTCAACTTTGTCTCTTGCGTCTGCTTTCCTCACATGTGCTTCTATTATTTGGACAGGGGGGGGGAGGCGAGTACAGCAGAACAACGAGGCAGAGTAAAAGAGGAGCAAAGAGAGGGGACAAAGGGGAGTCGCGTCGCTCCCTCCCTCCCTAGCTTCGCTCATCGCTCCGCCCAGTCGCTGATGACAGCTTCGGCGCCGGCCTCATCGCCCTCGAACTCGTCCCCTCCGCGGACCACTACTCTGCCCAAATTGCGCGCTACGCCTCCTTCCTGCACTCCTTCCTAGGCCGGGGCGTGTTCTACCTCTTCCTCGGCGTCCTCATGCTCAACTACTACGTCATCCTCTACGTGTGCGGCACGGCTGTGGCCGTCGTCGGGCTTGTCTACATTGCCCTCCACTTTTGGGCCCCCTTCGACCCGCCGAGTACCATGAAGCCGCCCTCGATGGATCCCGAGGCGCAGCCCGTTTGGCAGGCGCCGACTGAGGACTAAGCACTATAGAAGATATGCAGACATTGTAGAGAAGCAGAGAGTTTTTGGAGAGTTGTAGATACGCACTCTCCCATGAGCCGTGGTCGCAAACTGACAGTGGCACCTCCACTCCTCGACTCAGGCGTCGCTCAGCTACCGACACCTCGCTTCGCTCGGAATCCTCGTTCTCCATGCACACAGCTCGCTTCGCTCGCTGCGTGCGCATGCGCGCTCACCACGGGTATACATGCGGGTATCACACTCTCGGTATTCGGTATAGATTAGCTGCTACGGACTAGACACTCGAGACGACGGACGGCGGACGACGGACTCTACTCGGCGTGCTGGGGAGCCTCGGCAGGCTCACCGGCATCCGCCGACGCCTCCGCGGCAGCGATAGCCTGCGCGATCGGGTCGTCGGACCGCGGGGAGATGTCGCGGCGCCCAGGCGAGCGCGGCGCGCGGGGCGGGTAGCCGCAGCGGTCCTTGCCGTGGGCGATGCGGAGGGGGGCATAGTCCTCCTTGTCCTTGATGGCCTGGATCGCTTTCTGGGCTGCCTCGATCGTACAGAAATTGACGTACGCGGCGTGCTTCTCCTTGTAAAAGTTGATCATCTCAATGTCGCCAAACTCCTCAAAGTCCGCGCGCAGCTTGTCCGCCGTGAACGTGTCAAAGTCCGTGATCTGGCCAATGTACACGTTGCGCGACGCACCCTGCTGCACCTCCTGCAGGAGCTTGGGCGAGACGGGAGCGACCGTCTTGCCCCAGCCGACACGGAGTCGGCGGCCAGCGATCGTGACGGGGTTCGTTTCGCTGTGGCGGAAGAAGGAAAGAGCAGCGGCAGGGTCGACGAAAGTGACGAACGCGCACTTCTTCTCGGGCAGAAGCTTGATCGACTCGAGCACACCGCCACGGATGTTGTTGCACAGCTCCTCGACAGTCGTCTCGCTGCCAATGTTGCCGAGGTAGATCGAGCGGTTGCCGATCTGCGAGTCCATAAAGTTGCCAGTCGAGTAGCCGCTGGGGTCGAAGCCGGCAGGCGAGAAGGCACCAAAGCCGTTGGCGCCGCCGAAACCGTAGCCGCCGATCTGGCCAGAGTGAGACTGGACAGCGGCAGCAGCCTGGGCGACGGCCTGGCGGACGGCAGCCTGCTGAGCGCGGGGAACGTACGCACAGCGGTCCTTGCCGTAGCTGACGCGCTTGTTCTTGTACGCGGGCTCCTTGGGGAGCTGAGCGACAACCTTCATGGCAACCGAGATGCTGAGGAAGTGGATGAACGCAATGTTCTTGTCGCGCACAATCTTGATCTGGTCAATGTCGCCAAAGCGGATGAGGTCGCCGCGGAGCGTCTGCTCAGTGTCCTCGTCGGTAAGACCGCCGATAAACACATTGCGGGTCGCCTGGTTGTACTGAACAGCGACAGCAACGTTGGTGGGCAGGTTTGACTCGCGGCCCCATCCGATGCGGAGCTCCTGGCCGCGGAGAGCAAGCTTCTTGACGGCGGCGTCGGCGTAGAAGGCGGCAGCGGTGGATCCGTCGAGGAAGGAGATGAAGACGCAGCTCTTGTCCGAGAGAATCTTCACAGACTCGATGGGGCCGAAGCGGACGAGGTTGAGGAGCTCGTCGGCGGACGCGTCGTCGGGAATGTTGCCAATGTAGACGGTACGGCCAGTCATGTTGCCGGCGGCGGCAGCGGCGGCGGCGGCGGCAGCAGGTCCGTAGTTGCCGGTCATACGGCTGTTGAAAGGTCCGCCGTAGCCTCCGGACTGCTGCTGAGGCTGCATCTGGGTTAGCATTACACTCACTCCTCAACTCACCATCATCGGGAAGCTGGGCATGACACCGAAGGGAGAAATGCCGACAGGGTTGCCCTGGGGAAGCATCTGGCCGATGCCGGGCTGTCCGTACGAACCAGGGGAACCGCCGTAGCGATCGCCGCCGTTGGTAAAGTCAGGAGAGTGGCCGACGCTGGGAGCCTCGGGCGGCGTCAGGTTAAGGCCGTCGGCAGAGAGTGGCTGCTGGAACGAGCGCTGCTGCCACTGTTAGTAACACGGATTGCGCTCGAGCCGCCTGGTCTCCAGGACAACAAGACTCACCATCGCGCTGATGTCGAGCTGGCTGAGGGCGCCAGACAGAGCACCAACGTAGTCGGCAGGGAAAGGTCCAAGGCCCATCTGGCTGGGGAAGCGAGGGTAGGGGTGTTCCATGCCACCGGGGGAGAGGGGAGAATCACCAGGACGGTTGACAGAGTAGTCGGTCATTAGGTTGGTGGTGGGGATAAAACGAAGAGTGTGTGGTGTTTGTATTTAGCGTGGGAGGAAAAGCGGAACGGGGTCGAACGAAGTAGTCCACGTCGTGCTTGAGGGGGTGCAAGACGACGGTGTCGGAATAAGAGCTAGTGGTGTAACGCGCCACAAGCTACGAGCGATACGAAGTCGGAAAGGTAAGGTGTTTTTGATTTTTGGACGGGCTGTACACGAGCGATAGTCGAGTGCACGGAACAAGCCTGAAGGTTAAGAGACAGCGACGAGAACGAAGTTGTTGTCGGGGAACGAAGTGTGTAACGCGGGGGGCTGCACTGGGGGTAACAAAGAGAGCTTGTCAGGGAAGGTGCAGTGTTGCGTGTCTGGGTAGGGAATGCGATTCGAGTGGGATACAGGTGGTGGCGCGATCGCACCGGCGTCAGCACAAATGTCGGAATGCAGCAGCTTGTAGACTTACGGGTTGATAGAGTAGTTCGCCGGGGAAGGACGAGCTAGAGGGGGTTCGAAGTGGTGTGTGAGTGTTGGGTTTGGTAACTGTCCAAGTCGTAGGCGGGTCGTAGCGTCGTTAAGCGTGATAGTCGCGACGATCGTAGGGCACAAACGGAGTAACAGAGAAGGAGAGAGATGTGAGTGTGATTGGGGAGGGCGTAGTTCCGGGGGTATGGAGGGGCGAACAAGTGTCAGCACAATGAACAAGAACAAAGTGGTGAACGAAGAGTGGTGCAAGAGAAGAAAGAGAAGGACAAGAAAAGGAAGGACACGATGGTGGTGGTGGTGGTGGTGGTGGTGGGAGACTAGCCAGCGAATGCGTCGCGAGGTCAGGCAGCAGCCGAAAGGCGAAAGGGATTTTTGTGGAGGAAACTGGCGCACGGATCGCTGGGACGTGTATCGACCAGGATGGCCAGGACCTTGGATGGCGTTAGTTCAAACTCACGGGTAGGTGCTAAGGAGTGTGGGTGGGCGTCGAATGTTGCCCAAAGTGTGGTGGTGGTAGTATTTGGAAACAGCGGCGAGGGTGGGTAGTTGCAAAGTAACAGAAACGGCGAGATGCGAGTTGTTGATTATGCGGGTGCCAGAGATGGTAGGAAGGAGATGGTAGGAGGATGGAGAAGAAAGTCGGCTAGGGCGGTGTTGCGTTGTCGACGAGGGTTTGAAAGAGGTGTAAAGGGGGGGTGTCTGCAGAAGAAAGGATGGAGGGGAGATGAAGGGGGGTCGAAGAAGAAGAAGAGAGGAGGAGGGGGAGAGAGTAAGTTGGATCGAAGGTAAGGAGGAGTGGATGAGAAATGAATGAATGAGGAGAGCAAGAGAGGGACGAAGGACCAAGACGCGGAAGTGGTTGGTGGTGGTGGTGGTTGGTGGTCGCGGCGTGGTTGGTGTCGCGCTACGGTGAGACTAGGCTACGGTGAGTGCTGGACACTGGGTGTGGTCTCAGTCTCAGGGCCAAGGTCCCCAGGGCACTTCTAAGGGACCAACACCCAGGGACAGCCTAACCCGTGGCTCATACGCGTACTGGCGTAGAGCGCGTCGGGCCGTTGCGTGTCTTGCATGTCTTGCCCTGCGCCGCCCCTTCCCTCTAATCCTCGATTGGTCCATCCTTCAACCACCCGGCCACTCCAACACCCGTGGGCCGAGTATTGAGCTGCACGCTAATCGACTCTGTCTGTCCATGAACAGCAGCAGCAAAGTTGTAAGCATGAGTAATGGCAAACATGCATGCAGACATGAGCAGAGTTTGGTCCACGCGAGAAATAAGCATGCGCAATGCGGGTATTACGCAACTCTGCTTGGTCCCGGGTTGTCTCCTTGTCTCTGTCCAAACCCAAATTCTCTCCAGAGTAGCCAGAGTAGCCGGGAGGGAGCTGTACCCCTACGCCCTCCCACTTTGACTCGGCCGGCGTCCTTGCATGTCCTGACCGACAGTACCTCCTGTAAGTCCTGGTTTCCTTGCTTTTGTGGTGTCCTGGGACTGAACAGGACGGAGGGAACGGAGTTGCAATCGTATTCGAGGACAGCGGCCTGGCGGCCTTGCAAGCGTCGGCCAGGCGGTCCAAGCGCTTCTCTCCTCCTGGTGTCCTGGTATGTCCTCGCCGACCCGCGCGTACGCGCGTGCAGATCTCCAGATCCAGTAGTTTCGTCCCGACAACCTACGGCGCGCGGCGTCGGAGGGGGGGGGGAACTTATTCTAGGCACGCGTACCCAAGGATACTCCCAATTCAGCCCCACCGAAAGTCAGGCGCCTTCTCCGTCGCTCATGGGACGAGCGTTGGCGCCGAGCCGCGAGCCGCAGGCGAGGAGATGGGAGCGGGGCGCAGGCTGTGCACGTCGTGAACCTTCCCCTCGATCTCGGAGATGTGTCGCTACCTCGCCATCATCGCATACATGCATCTTTGGCTGTACACGGCGCTGTCCTTGTCCTCAAAGCCGGGTGACCACTCGAGGGTGAGGTGCAGGCGCAATGCATGGCCCATTTCGGCATGAACGGCACGAGGCGCAGATCCGCGAGACTCATTACTTTTGCACTTGCACGAAAGGCGGAGAAGCAGTGGAGCGGGCAAGGGGGCCAAGGGGATCAGTCCCGAATTGCATCAAGTACGCAACCGCGGCGGACTCCTGACTAGGCCTGACCCAGAAACGAGGATACCCGCTTGCCGCGGCTCGCTCTGCTGTTATGAAGGACGAGCGATCGAGAGATTTCGCCATTATTCGCCACCCTCCGTACCGTCCGTTCTGCCATCCTCCGTCTCATGTCTTGCATGTCTCGCACGCCTCGAAACTTCTGAGCGCTGTGCTGATCGTTAACCTCCGTTTTATAGGCAACCTGTAGAGAGTGAAGGTTTATGAGACAGATTGGCCACACGTGTCCCCTGCTATGATGAGCCAGTTGGATCTCGGCGCTCACCACGTTTAAGCATGTGAGCACATGGGGCACTCGGTGAGGTGCAATTATGTCACCGTCGAGGTCCCGGGACTGTTGCTAGGCTGACTGAGACAGGGTCGCAGGACAGCCAGCAACAGCCAATACGCCGACGTACGCTCGGCGCACAGCTGAGGCTTCTCTCTGGGCAACACATGTCCCATCTGTTGTGACTGCCTGTTGTTGGCCGTAGACGACCGGTATGGCGCCCTGCGCGCCCTGGCGTACTGTCATCGATGTATTCGCTCATAAAGAAAAGTATGGGGCACGTCTGACTCGCACTGTAGAGCTCGCCCGAGTCTTCGTTCTGGGTCTTACTTTGTTGCATTGTCATTCTCCTTTAGTCTCCTTTCTGCAGTGTGCAATACTCGGCGTCTAGGAAACGAACTGGGATAACTGTCCCGAGTCTTCACTTTCGGCACTCTACTCTAGCAAGTCGCACCTCGCATCTCGGCCTTCTTCTTCTTCGTCTTCATCCCGTGCCCTTCTGTGTAAAGGACAGGGTTGTACAGCAGGATCTCTGCAGTGTGTGACTCGCTGTTGTCTCCGCTAGTCAACATCAGAATAGTCGGAGAGCATGCCCTTGTCTCCGCTCCCGCTTTCGTTTGCAGAGAGCTACAAAGTAGGAGGGTAGGAGGGGAGGGGCTCATATCTGACGCCAACACCAATACTCACTGCTTCTCGCCCTCCACGCAATCGGTGAGCAGCGCAGGTGAGCAGGCGAGCAGGCGAGCAGGCGAGTTGTCAACTTCTAGTTTGCCCCAGTCATCACTACCAGGCAAGTGGCTGTCCCCGACTGGCATCTCTCAATCTTCTCTCGCTTCAACCTCTCGGCAACGTCGCCTTCTGCCATGCGACTTGTGTCAGCAAGCATCTGCCAAGGAGTCAGCGGTCGAGTCAGTTTTCGCTCTCGAGTGGCCGCGATCACACGCTTACCCTGGGCGTGTCAGCGCCGGCCCCTCGACGGTCTCGCCTACACAGCGTGCAGCGCATGCAGCAGATGCAGCGGATGCTACACCGCCATCAAGACAAGCCAAGACAAGCATCAAGACAACAGGCAAGACCATGTGGCCCGCTGTGCGCTGTGTCCGGGATGACAGCATGGCAGCATGGCGCTTTGGCTGTTGCTGTCGCGTCGTGGTAGTGCAAATGAGCAGGAGTGGTCGGGCACCCGTGCCACAACTCTCGGTGCCACTTGTCCTGTCTGCTTGCACGCTCGCGCGCTCGCCCGGCTCGCCCCGTTCCGATCTGATCTCCGCCTGGCGCGCCTGGCGCGCCTGGCGCGCCTGGGCCCGGGACGCTGTCCAGAGCTCCAGAGAACTGCTAGCATTGCCTGCCCCTCCTTGCGTGGCCACGGCTTGATACGCTGCGCATACTCGGTACGCCTGCATCGTCGGAGATGCACGAGTGACGCCTCGGCATGGCGGGCGGATGTGGCCTCGATTGTTCCCTAGACCATGTCCGACCCTGTGTAAACTTTTGTCGCGCATGCCGATGCCCTCCCGACGCACTTCTACGCACCTCTACGCGATCTACGCTGCGAGCTGTCGTTCTCGTCCAACTGCGGGTCAGTAGCACTCCCTGCCTGCTCCTGCTATGCTCTATGCTCTTGCATCATGCAACGGCCATTGTCGATAAGTATACATGCCAATGCACCCTGCTACCCAACTAAGCTAAATGCTATCGCCGCTTAGACGGAAGCGAGGGGGGCGGGCTCAACAAAGTCACCGCCCTTGGAGACCTTGGAGCCGGGCTGGGCGGCGGCCTCACCGTGCATCTCAAGGAGCTTGGACATGTCAAGCTTGGGGGCCTTGACGATCTTGACCTTGCGGACGTAGACGTTGTGGAGGGGGTAGATGCCCTTGCAGGCCTTCTCGATCTCGCGGCCAATCGACTCGGGGACGAACTTCTGGACAAGCTCCTTGAGGTCCGAAGCCTCACCCTCGCGGCGCATGATCTCGGTCATCTTGGCGTGGATGGCACGGACCTGCGACGACTGGGCGTAGGTCGTCTTCTTGACCTGGTTGCGGTTGCGCTGCGTGAAGCCAATGGCGAAGAGGCGGAGGATGTAGCCGTCAGTGGTCTTGACGTCGACGTGGGCCTCAACGAGCGTCTGCCACTTGCGGACGAGCGAGCGGAGCTTGTCGGTGGTGAAGTCCATGCCGTAGAAAGAGGTCAGGCAGTTCTTGCCCGAGACGTCCTCAACCTTCAGCTGGATCTTGCGGAAAGACTGCTCCTGGTCGTTGTTGAGGTCGGCGAGCGAAACCTCAAGAACACGGCCCTTGAGCGAGTCGTTGGCGTTCTCTGCGCAGGGTCAGCAACAACATCTTCAAGGATCATCGGTCGGTCCGTGAGAGAAAAATCTTCTCCAGCCGCACAACCAAAGATACGCACTCAGACCCTGGGAGCGGTTGACGAGGGTCTTGCCAACATTGCGGTTCTCAAAGTAGGAGGGGGCCTTGATGTCGTACCAGTCTGTCGTTGTCAGCTGTCTGCTGCTCCCAATGCCTGCAGCAAAACTAACCCTTGCGGGTGAAGGGGTCGACGACCTTTTTCTTGATACCCTTCTTTCCCTTAGAGAGACGCTTGTTCTTTCCAACCGCCATTTTCTGAGAGTCGTTGGTTGCACGGGGTGAGAGAGGAGTCGAAGAGAGAGGAGAAAGAGTGGGAAGTGAAAGTTGTTGCGGGTCACGAGGGAGCGTTCAAGTAGGTCGAAATTTCGCAGATCCAGTCCGAAAGTCCAGCGCAATCACACAGTCACACAATCCAATTCCAGAGCAGAGCAGAGTTCGAAAGAGCAGTCGGCAGAAAGTCGAGAGAGAGAGCACAAGCGTCAGCACAATGTTTCGTCGTCGCCGTTCGTCGCCGCAGAGTACGCACTTTGTCTTGAGGTAGTTGACAGTAACGACGGTGCAGCCGTTCGATGTAGCAGTTCCTCCCAGACCCGGCAGCAGCCTCGCCTGGGTCAGACCTCGAATTTGGGAGAATTTAGTTCCGCTAACGCCGAATGTGGCATGGGGTGCTTCCGCCCACGTGGGGGTGGAGGGAGAGTTTCGTGAATTTCTAGAGTGATAATATCACGTGATGCTTGACGTGTTAAATGTGTCATGCATGTGGCTATGTGGCTGCAGGGCCTTGTGGACTTGGCCGATTCTGCAATTCTGCGAAGGCCCAAGTTAGGAAGCCGAGTGACCGAATCTTGGATGTATCAAGACGCCGATCCACACTCTTTCTGCGAAGTTGTCCTCACGCAGCACACAGTCGTCGGTCCCAAGTTCATCCGTCGTGTGTTGGAGACGCCAGGCGGTACACCGAGAGTGTTGACCCCTCCTCCAAGTTACCAATCCATGTCTCTGTGAACGCTCGTGGCTCACGCTCTGCCCAGCCTACTACTTTACCGTCCTTGGTGCAGAGGTGGCTGTCGGCTATGCGCTTCGACACGTTTTCGTGATCTTACCAGTCTCATGCAGGAAAGTGATCGACGTGCATTACCTCTTTGGAGCTGGAGAACAACTTGTGTGAGAGTTCTTAGATCATAAAGTGTATAGAAGCGTCGTGGAAACTTGATGCACTTGGCAGGAGGCACATCGACTAAACCGGGGTACCACGGGCGGTCGAACGCCAGATCCCACCGTAGGAGCAAAAGTCGAGAGTCGAACGAATTTCGATGGATGATGACTTCACAATCGCTCAGAGCAACCATATGGAAGTTGCAGCATGAGCGCACTGCTCGGTCCAGATTTGATAGGGCAACTTTCAGGAGCTTGCAAGCAATATGGGTTGAGCAATGAGCGATTTGATTTCGTTCGCTACGGTGGCGTTCGACTTTCCCTGGTACCCCGGTTTACATTCATAAGTGCCGTTAGCAAAGGCACTCCACCTATCCACCCAATCGACACTGACGACATTCTGCCCCCTCATGATCTCACTCCAGCCTACCGCTACTGCCCAATGCTCTATTGTACCGTACTGCAGTAAATCCATTCCACTATATGCACATCTACTTAAAATCTGCCTATTCACACCGAGTTATTCCTAAGAGAGGAGGTCGACGAGGACCTGTTTCTCCTCCTTGTTATTGGCCGCAGCGGGGCTGCTACGGCGCCCCTTGGCGTTCCCGTTGACCTGCGCCTGAGTCTGCTGAGTCGCGGCACCAGGCGTCTCGGGGGTGTTGCTCTCGCTCTCGGAACTGAGGGTGGGGGACTCCCACGCATTTCCCGACGTGAGAGAGGGAAGCTCGCCCTTGCTCTCGAGCTCGTTGATGCGGCCCTCGAGACGGCGGCCGCAGGGCGTGTGCCGCAGGTTGGGCATGAGGGGGATAATAATGCTGAGGAGCTTGTCGCGCTGGTCCTTCTCGGCCTCGGCGAGCGCGGTCTGCACGGGAAAGTTGCCATACTGGTCGCGAAGCAGGGTTTGGATCCTGTTCTCGCCAGAGTCGTCGCCGATCATCTCCGAGATGAGCTCGCGCTTGTCAGCCGGGTTGGCGTGCTTGAGCGCCTTCTCGACGACGTTGGAGGCAAACTTGTGGCGGCACACTGTGGGTTAGTTTCGGTTACATCAGAGGAAAAACTCAGAGAACGAGGCGGAGGGGACAGATTGATCAATGGCCACGCTAACTCACAGTCAAAGATCCTAGTCTTGATTTCGGCGACGGCGAGATCGCGATCATGTTTCCTCCCCTCACCCTCGGTGATGACGGACTGCACGACGTAGTTTCCAAACTGGTTGATCATGAGCTCGTGCGAGCACGTGTGCATCTCGTCCAGGAGAGGGCGGATCTTCTCGGGCGGAAGCACCTCGAACGACTTTTGCAGCACGCGACACCCGAACGGATGCGTCGAGAGCTCGCGCACGTGCCCGATGAAGGCGTCCATGAACCCGCGGGGCGGGTCGAGTGTGATGAGCCGCTGGTTGTTAGCTTTCGTGAGCGGCGTGCCAACCTGGATGCTCGCCCCAGGCACGAACACTTACCTGGATAACGTGATTGGCGTTTGACGACTTGACACACTCGATGATGTGCCCGTCGAGCTCGGCAACGAGCTTGGCGCGGTCCTCGGTGCGCGCGTGCTCGAGCGCAGTCTGCATGACGCGGCACCCATACATGTGGTTGGAAAGGAACAGCGCCTGGCCCTCCATCTTCTTGATGAGGGCTGCCTTCTGGGCCGCGTCGCCGTGCTCGAACAGCTTCTGGATCACGTAGTTGCCAAACACGTCGGTCATGAGGGAGAAGGCATTGGGGAGGATCTCCTCGAAGACCTTCTGGCGCTCCTCGGGCGAGGCGGTCTCAAGCTTGTTCTGGATGAAGCGGCTGCCGTGCTGGTCGCTCGCGAACTCGCAGATGCTGCCGTAGATCTCCTGCATGTTAGCTTCGCGACGGTAAAAGTTCAGCTTACCGAGAACTCCAGACGGGATGACTTGCGAGAACGGAACTCCTCAAGACGCTGGGAACGGACAACACTCGAGTCGTCGCGCTTCAGCTGGCGGCCGTACCCGAACGCAGGAGGCGAGTAGGGCGCATAAGGCGAGGGGAGCGCATACGTGTTGGCCGGGGGCGAGCCGAAGGTGCTCATCGGCGGGCTCTGGAGCGTGTACTGCTGGGCATGGTTCGCATAATCGGCGAGAGTGGGGTAGTGGTTGGGCTGGGCCATCTGTGCCTGGTGTCCATGCTGCGAGTTGCGGCGGGGCGCTGCGCGGGGTTAGCCTTGCCGCCCCTGCCGCCGCGGCTGCTCACGCTGTTCTGGCGCGGGTGCCAGTACACGCCGCGCTCGATGTAGTTGTAGTATCCCTGCTGCGGGGGCGTGGGGAGCTGGTGCGGCACCTGCAACTGCTGCCCCGTGTGCGGGGGACGGTACACTTGCTGCGAGCGGGCGCCGGCCGTGGCGGCGACGAGCTGGTGCTGGAACGCTGTCAGCGCGGCAGGCACCTGGCCAGGCGAGCGGGCGTCAGGCGTATGGCTCCCGTACGTCTCGGGCGGAGAGGGGTAGGGGTCGCCGTAGACGTTGGCGCCGGTCGCCATTGCCTGCAGCGGGGTCGTCACGTCTGCGTAAGGGTAGCCTTGGGGCGCACCGGCACCGTTGGGGGTGAAGGTGCTAGGGTCGACGCCGGCATAGTAGATGAACGGGTCGTAGGGGTTGAACGCGGCCGCAGGGCGGGGCGGGGTATGGACATTGGCGTAGGGACCTCCAGGAGGAGGGGGCGCTCCGGGAGAAGCGTTTTGGCGGTGGGGGGACCCATAGTCGTCAACAGAAAGGTTGGACATGTGGGATGCGATGTCGTTGCTGTCGGAAGCAGGCTGAGCCCATGACGTGGCAGCTGCGCCGGACATGATGAGCAGAGTGTTACTTGATGAGCGGTGGCGCGGGAAAAGGTGGAGTGAACCGATGCAGGAGACGGAGATGGGACTTGATCTGGGAGCCGAGAAGGGAGACTAAGTCGACAATGCTAGTGTGTGTTGCGAGAGGGCTTGGATGGCTTGGGCCTAGATAGTGGTGGGTGCGAGGAGAGTGTGGGACAGTTGGAACAGATATGGGCTGAGGGCAGGAGACGCGTAAGGGTGCGTGTATGATGATGGTGTAAGTCGAGTCAAACACAGGTGTCTGTAAGTGGTTAACAACGAAAGACGGTCACTATGGTCACAGGGAAGAGGAGAGGACGAGGGACCGAGAAGAACAGACGTTCTGGTGAACAAGAGTAGAGAGAGAGAGAGAGGAAGAGAGGAGGCGATGGCAAAAGAGAAATGCAGGAGAGGAGGAGAGAGAGAGGGCGCGTCGGAATCGAGTGGAGACGAGTGGAGAGTGAGGGCGGGCGGGGGCATCGAAAGGAAGCCAGGACAAAGCGTCGTGCAGAGCGTGTGTTGTGCTGCGCCCCCCGCCGAAGCAAGCTTGGACGCTTGTCCACCTCCAACTGATCAGCGGGCGAGCTTTGCTCAGCACGCACACACACCGCGCCCTATCCACTTCTCCTCCGCACGCACGTCACAGCGAGCACAGCGAGCCTCTGAGCCATCGAGCAGTGAGGGTTGACTGAGGAGATGCGACGATGGAGTAGCAAGACGCCGAGGTTGAGTCAGGACCTTGGTGGCACCTGTCCACTCGTCAGGGCCTGGTTTCCGTCGCCATATCGGCTTCCTCTCGCACCGGCGAACGAGCTCCACTCAAGTCTTTCGCACTGTGTACTGTGAACTGTGTGTTGTGGGCTTATCAAGCTCCACAGGAGTGATCGGCGCTGTCCCGCATGCTCCCGGCACCGCACTAATGGATCGACGGGGCTCGACCGTACTAGCCGTTCAAGCGGCGCAGTGGACTCGCTCTCGACTCAGAGCTGCACCGCACTGCGCATTGAGCCATCGAAACTACACCTCAGTGTGCAACGCCCGTGCAGTCTGGGCACACGCTCGCCCTACACTCTGTCTCGCCATCTCGTTGAGTCCTTGTCTGGACTGACTGTCTCGGTCCCTCGGACCTCCTTGCCGTCGATGAACTGGTGGCAGGGAACGCTGGGGTGGATCAATGTACTCACTCTATACGGGGGCGTTCAGTAGCTGGGCAGCTCCCGGTCTATGGCGGACTGATAGGACGATGGGCGTGAGGAACGTAGAAGAAGGGATCCGAGGTACGACCAGGTGGAACGGCGAAGGGTGGCGTGGTCGAGTGATCGGTGTGACGATCGGGGTAAGAGGTGAAGGGGGTCGTGAAGGGTTCGTTGGTCGTCAAGACTCGAGGGGCGAAGCGCGCGGGCAAGGAGCTGGGTAGATCTTCCTTTTCAAACACGAACAGGGGCTGTTCACAGTTGTCAACGGGTTCAACGGGCCAACGGGTCGCAGCGAGAAGTCTTCACAGGGCGAAGGTGGATAAAGGCAGAGGGGGAAGGTGGTGTGGTAGTGACACCGGGTGATGAAGTGATGGTAAGAAGTCGAGTGGTACTATGCACACAGAGTCGCTGGAGCGTGAGCGTAGACGTAGGCGTGAGTTGAGCGCTGCCTGAGCTTGGACGAGAACCAGGCGTGCGTATTAGGGGTGCACTGGGTTGTTGAGCGGGCGGCCCCGAGCGTCACTACCTCGTGCGGTGGAGGTGATGCGGTAGTGGTTAACTGGTTGACCGAGAAGCGTCAGCTAAGGGCGGGGCCGGCTGGGTGGACCGTGGACCTCTGGCACCTCTGGCACCTCGAGTGCGTGGGTGTCGGCCTGGGAGAGGGAGTTGTCCGGCGGTGCAAGCGATGGACGGGCGGTGGTGTGCGTGTGCCGTGTGTCGTGTCTTGTGTGGGTGGTAGGGGCCTCTGTTGTCAGAGCGTGAGCGTGCTGGGCGAAGCTGAGCGAAGGGGGACAAGGATCCGAAGTGTGCGCAGGAGCAACAATACAGGCAGGGATCGAAGGCAGGAGGGGGGTCAAGGGCAGTCTCATCGTCTCGGACGCTCGGACACAAAGCAGGACAAGGACGCACCTTTCATCGGGCAGTCATACCGTAGAGCTGAGTTGGAGTCTGGTCTGGGCGTGTGACGGAGCTTTGGATCTTGGAAGGATGTACGTCCTCGCCCGGCTGGACGAGAAGCGGTGTGCCGACCGGAGCGTAGTGCGTAGTGCGTAGGACGTAGTGTGCACGCGAGTGTTCTTCTGCGCAGGTAAGTGAGGGTTGAGCGACGATGTGCACAGATCGACAAAGGTGCACAATAAAGTCCTAAAGCCAGGCGCGCGCAGGCGCCGGAAGCACCGGAACGAACACCAAGCGCATGGCGTGCATGGTATCAGCATGTTCGGCAGTGGTAGCGCTGCGACGATGCACAGGGTTCAAACCCAGAACGAGGCGTGCAAGGCGTGCGGAGGTGGCGTTTAGGTCAGGCATCGTCAGGCAAGCCCGGCGTCAGGCGCGACAGGAACTGCAGGAACGCCGGCGGCGCTGGAGCACTGCACCCATTGCTACAGATCCTCGCTTCGCACTCGGAATGCAGCACTGAATTGTGTGTATGCCAGCACCCAGCACAACACATTAGCCAGAAGCACGGAACAGCTTTTGTTGGACGAGGCTTATCTGGCTTCTTTTGTGTGCCCGAAATTGGGCCACTCGCACTTAGCGGCCTTCCAAGGCTAGGGTAGATGAGCCCAGGAACGTTGGTGCAGCCCCAAGTACGCCATGGATGGCCCGGCAATCTGCACTCTTCTGCAGATGCGTGCTGGTCATGAAGGTACGACAGTACGGCGGTACGACGATGGGACAAGAGGAACAACGGGGCGCCTCGAGGTGCCCTTGATTCAGTGCACTGCGGCACCGCAGCGAATTGCGCTGGGCCCCTTCGAGCCCTCCGCTCACGGCTCCGTCCTTCGCAAGAGGCCAGAGGACGAACCAGGAAGCGGACAAGCATTGTCGTCAGCTTTGTGTAGCTCGGTCGTTGCGGTCTGTGCGTTAGGGTCACGACGCCGTGGGCCAGGCATGTCAGTAGACTGGGGCTAGGAGGCCAGAGAACAGCAAAACGCCACACTCGCCACCGGACGACGGGGTCCTGATATTCGAGCAACTCGCATTCCTCGACTTGCTCACTCGTGCTCCAGCATGCCCAGCAGCCCATGGCGCTTCGTCACCGGCGCCGGCTCCGTGACGGGACACGATTTCCCGCCAAGAAGTTGTGCACACGTCTTTCGGTCTGCGTTCAACGGAGCATCCATGGACGCCCAATGATGGAGAATTATCTTTGCATGGATACAACACTGCGTAACTCTACACGCCATAGATGGCCAGCTCCTTCATCTCGGCGAGCACGTTCTCGACCTGCACGTCGAGCTGGCCGTTGGCGTACTCGTCGCGGATCCCGTCGGCAAAGTACCGCTGCACGCCCGCCAGCTTCTCGTAACCCTCCTCCGCGAATCGCATCTGGATGCGCACCATGGACTCGAACGACGGGTCGAGGAACGCTGTCGTCAGCTACAGAGAACAGGAACTAACTGGCTGTTGGTGTATACTCACGGACTCGGAGCTCAACGAGCTGCGGCAGCTCGGCGATGAGCTGCTCGTTTAGGATGTCGTAGATCTCGCGCGCCTCGTCGTGTTCGCTCTGCGCGCGGGGGAGCTTGGCCGTGTCGTCTGACGGCTTCTCGACAAGCTTGCGCACCTTGGAGCGGGACGCATCGTAGTCGATGAGCTTGTGATTCCTCTTGTCGATTGCGGCGTTCACATTGTTGAAGTAGTGGCACATCTTGCCCACCGGCTCGAGCACGGTCGCGCGATACGGCCCATCCAGGTCGCGAGTCACGACGTCGTCGAGCGAGTCCACCGCCGCCTTGTACGAGTGTCCAGCCATGGCGCCCTGTCGCGTGTCAGCATCAGATCACTGGTATCGCAAGCCACATTCCCAGGTGACAGGTACGTACATCACTAGCCTTGTCGGCGGTGTAGAAGAGCTCGACCGTCTCGGCAATGCGGTTCTGCGAGGCGGACATGGCTGCCGTCAGCTAAACGCAAAGGCGATTAAAGCTACTCACTCCTCATCGCGTCGAGGTAGTTCTTCGCCTCCTTCTGGAGGTTGTTGCACTCCTTCTCCATGCTGGTGCCGTTAGCGCGCTTGGTTCCACTACGCACTGCCCCGCCTCGGCCGCCATGCGTCATTCACTCACATTCGGTACTTGGCCTCCTCCTCGGCGAACTGGTGGTCGACGGTGCGCTCGACCTGACCAGTCTTCTGCATGAGCTGGGTGCCCGCGCGCGAGGCGGCCTTCTTGAATCTGCATCGTGAGTATGTCGTCGCGATCGATTTCGGCCAGGCGTTACGTCCTAACGCAAAACACGTCGACTCACCCGCCCCTGCATATGGTCAGCTGGGCCCGCGAACTCTGCTACCAGCTGTACTCACCAAGACATCTTGAAGAGACGAGTTGCGGCCTAGATGGCGATGTGAAGTGATGAAGTTGGATGAAGTTGAGGAACAGCGACTGACGTCGGATCGGCGCCCTCGTCACCGCAGCCCTTGGCGGCATAGCCCTCCCGGGATCTGTTACGTAACGATCATCGTGTCTAATCGACGTCTGAAAATACTAATGGGCATGCCCGTCAATTAGTCACAGCCAGACAAGCGATTACAGTTCATTTGGACGGCGGAGATTGGTTGACGGGCGGCAATGACGTTTTTAGCTCCGTCACACAGCTGCCTGGAGATGACAATATCGGGGCACCCCGCCCCCTCCTTTTCCTCTCTGCATACTACTCTCTGATCACAATATAAAACACACACAGCATGTCCAGGCATCGCTTCGTGAGGAACCTCGATCTTGATGGTGCGTGGATTCGACGGTCGATTGCGTGAGCTGACCCTCAGCCGAACTGGCCGACGACCAGCCCGACGACGACTACTACGACGATGACTACGACGGAGAAGGTGGCGGCGAGTACACCGGCTCCGAGGAAGACGACGGCATGGACGAGACGGAGAGGGGTGCGTTATTCTTCGTGTACATTGCTAACGCTCAGCCCAGATGGAGTCGGCTCTTCCCCTCGTGCGCGAGAAACTGAAGGACATCAAGCCCCCGATCAGTGACGATGCCATCAGAGACTCGCTCTGGCACTACTGGTTCGACGTGGACAAGACGGTGACATGGCTCCGCAAGGAGTGGGAAAAGAAAGGTAAGTTCATTCCCCCTCCTCCCTCTCCTATCTTGAGCGAGTGCGCACAAGCCAGCAATCTAGGACATCCGGCTGAGCGGACGCCAGGCGACGCCGGCCCGCCGAAAGAGCTCCTTCCAACGCCGGAGCAGGAGCCAAGGCCACGCCCTCGGAGAAGAAGAAATGCTGCAGTCAAACCCGCATCTCAACCGCAACCCTCGGCACCATCACCGCAACCGCCCCTTACCGCTCTTCAGCGCCTCTCGCTTGCTCGTAAACAAGCTGCTGCGGGATCGGCGTCCGCGTCAGCGTCAGCGACGCCCGCTAGCTCGGCTGCGTCGTCTGCACCCGCGACGCGCGGCAGCACTCCTGCCCTAGATGCTCTGGCCAAGCCGATGTCGAAGCTCGCTCTGCTCGCGCAGAAACGCCGTGAGGCAGCTGCGGCCAAGGAGGCAAGCAGCTCATCCGCATCTACAACCGTTTCGACACCCGTGCCTTCCCCGGTGCCGCCAGCGGAGCAAGCTGAGGCTGCACCCGTGCCGGCGAAACCGCTTTCGAAACTCGCACAGAAGATGGCCGCCGCTCGTGCTGCCAGAGCCGAAGCTGCGTCGCGAGGGCCCAGCGACGGTTCGCCCGCTCCCACGACACCTGTACCTGAAGCTGCTGTCGAGCCAGACGAGCCAGAGACAGAGATGTCCGCGCTGTTCTCGGTTGTCCTGCCGGTGAAGAAGAGCTCGAGCGCGCCCTCGACGTTCTTCAGCATGCTCACCAAGCCTCCCGTTGAGCTGCCGCCGGAGAAGCAGCCCTCGCTCGCGCACATGCACATTGCTGTGCGCGGCGACCTGGCTGCCGCAGAGCAGCGCGTCCGTGAGGCTTTTGGACCCGGCGTCGAGAGCCCCGACGACATTATCTTGCGCAAGCAGGACGGTCGTGTCGCGACAGGAGGCGGAGCACATTCAGTCGAGCCGCCAAAGGTCGTGCGCGAGGTGCGCGTCGAGAAGCCCGCCCAGGAGAAGCCAGTCCAGTCTGAGGTTGCTGCTGCTCAGAGCAAGCAAGCGAAGGAGCAGTCCATGGCTCCGGCTGCTGGACCCAAGGGCTTGGACAACAAGCTGCGGCGTCATCGCTCTCCTACGAAGAAGTCGGACTCGGGTCCTAAGAAGACAAATGCGGCGTCCAAGCCTCCGGCGAAGGACAAGCCAGCTGGTGGGGCCAAAAAGTCGGATCCGAGCAGACAAGCTCTGCCTCAGAAGGCGGCGTCCAACCGTCCTTCCAAGTCAACACCATCCGCGGCCCCGGCGAAGGGCAAGACGAACGGAAAGCCGAAGCCTACCACATCCTCCGGACCATAGCTGTAGTCGAGTCGAGATGTTATGCGTCTCGATCGACTCCTGCGCGCTCGCTCTGCACACCTTATAAATGACCATATCGCCGAGAACCTCTGCTTACCATCGTAGTCGCGAAAGCTAAGCAGCCTCCGCCGACCGCGCGATCCAAGTCGCTCCCCGCACAGAAGCGCGTCGTCGCCACCCCGAGCGCCTCGCCATCCAGCTCAAAGCCCAACAGCCGCAACACTTCTACCTCGGGCACTCCCCGCAAGAACACCGCTTCCAGCTCACCCATGACCTCAACGCCGTTATCCGGCCTGACGACGCCGGTCGGCGGTGTCGCCACGCCGGGGGTCTTCACGCTCACGTCGTCGGACATGGCCGGTCTCCACCTCTCGGACAGCTTTGACGAGGATGCGCTTCGCCGCGAGCGCGAGAAGTACCGGGAGCGCCCGGTCCCGACGATGAAGCAGGCTGACCTGATCAAGAAGGTCAAGGAGGATGAGGCGAGCGGAAAGAAGAGCTTCAGTTTGATCGTCGTTGGTGAGTAGCTGCATCCTTCTCTGCGATCAAGCTAACCCACAGGTCACGTCGATGCCGGCAAATCAACGCTGATGGGACGGCTTCTGTACGAGATTGGCAACGTGACGGAGAAGCAGAAGACGCAGAACGAGCGCGGCGCACAGCGTGCCGGCAAGTCCTCCTTCGCATTCGCGTGGGGTCTCGACGCGCTGGGAGACGAGCGTGACCGCGGTGTCACGATTGACATTGCGACGACGCACTTCGAGACGCCGCACCGCAACATCACGCTCCTTGATGCGCCGGGACACCGCGACTTCATCCCCGCCATGATCTCTGGAGCCGCGCAGGCCGACGTCGCTCTTATGGTCATTGACGGCTCCCCAGGGGAGTTTGAGGCCGGCTTCCAGCGCGGCGGTCAGACGCGTGAGCACGCGTGGCTCGTGCGTTCGCTCGGTGTGAAGGAGATCATCGTGGCCGTGAACAAGATGGACGTCGTCGACTGGTCGCAGGACCGGTACGACGACATTGTTGACGATATGAAGCCCTTCCTTGCCAGCGCCGGCTTCCACCACAGCAAGACGACGTTCCTTCCCCTCGCTGCCATGGAGGGCGTGAATGTGCTCGAGCGTGACCTGCCCACCGAGGCGCAGTGGTACAAGGGCCCGACGCTCGTCGACGCGCTCGACAAGGCGGACGTCCCCGAGCGTCCCTACGATGCCCCGCTCAGGATACCTCTTTCGAACGTTTTCAAGGGCCAGACGGCGATCGCGTCGGGTGTTGCAGTCCAGGGTCGTCTGTGTTCCGGCCTCGTGCAGGTCGGTGACAACGTCAGGGCTGTTCCGGGCGACGTCGTCGCGACAGTGCGCACAATCGAAGCAGACGAGGACACGGCACCGTACGCCGTCGCGGGCCAGAACGTGACGCTTTACCTCTCGGGCTGTGACGCGAACCAGCTCGCGATCGGCTCCGTCCTCTGCCCCATCAACTACCCCTGTCCGTTGGTGCGCCGCTTCACTGCCCAGATCCTTGTCTTCGACATCACGGCGCCGATCATCACCGGAACCGCCGTTGAGCTCTTCCACCACTCCGTCAATGTCCCCGCGACCATCAGCAAGCTCATCAGTATCTCTGAGAAGGGCCAGGTGGTCAAGACCAACCCCCGTGTGCTGCAGAAGGGCACGACAGCCACGGTCGAGCTCACGGTGCGCTCGCCGACGGGTTCCACCCGGCCGCCCCTCATCCCGCTCGAGACGGCAAAGGAGAACAAGGAGATGGGCCGCGTCCTCCTCCGTCGCGGAGGCGAGACCATTGCGGCGGGCATGGTGATGGAGCTGCTCTAGGTCGATCTAGAAATTTGTACAAAGTAATACAACGATGCATATCCCTATCCCCAATGCGGGAGCACTTGGTCTATAGCGACCTCTTGTTCCGTGACCGGTCCACTCTCCAAATCAAACGGCAAACTGAGGAATCCGCCAAGGTCGCCCGTGAATCCGCCACTGAAGGCGGCGACCTGTCCCGCCGCTGGCGTTCTCGTGGCCTGGTCCACATCGGCCCTTGCGTGGGGCACGCCAGCAATGCCAGCGTCTGGGAGAGAATAGAAGGATGCGAAATTCTCGCGCACAAGTCCGAGGTCGACGTCGTGAATACCCTCGATTCGCTGCCGCAGTGTGCCCGCTATCCACTCGGCGCCGTACCAATACGTGGCGAGTTTCTGGAGCCCCTGCTGCAGTGTCGAGATGTTTGTCGTCGCAACGCTGGTGAGGAGGGCGCGGGAAAGGTCCACGTTCGGGCGCGAGTCGGCGCTCTCGCTGCCGCTCGATTCACCGTCTTCCTCTTCTTTCTCCTTCTCGTCGCCGTCCTTCTCTTTCTGATCGCTCTGACCGGCCGCCTCTGTGGACTCTACAGCTGCCGAACGGAGGTCCAGTGCCTCTGACACGTGGATCTCGGGCACGGGCGAAGCGGCGCGCGACGGAGCGGCGGAGAGTCCGGCCCGCGCCTCCTCGATCTCCTTCACGTAGCAGCACCCTGCGACGAACCATGCCTGGTTCACGAAGGGCAGGGCAAAGTACATGAAGGGGTTGATGATGTCGGAGAGCACGAGAATGTCGCCGATTGTGCGCACAGAGTGGCGCCAGAGGTTGCTCGCCGCGGCCGTGTTGGGCGTCATGGCGCCGACGCTCGTGCCGTTAACGCTGAGTCCGCCCTTCTCTTTCTCCTTCTCGGTGCCCTTCTCGGTGCCCTTCTCTCGAACCTCCTTTGCGGTCCGCTCAGCGCTCGACGGGTGTAGATTCCCTCCGTCGCTGGAGGCCGAGGGCGGTTTCGAGCCCGAGCCCGAGCCCGAGCCCTTGCCTGGCCGGCGCGCGAGCAGGTCCGTGCCCGTCAGATACTCGGACGCGAGGATCGTGTGCATCCACAGATGCAAGTGGAGGAAGATACTCCCCTGTCTGGCGCGATTCTGGGCCTGCAGATTGCCTACGTTCCACTGCATGTCGGCGGGGAGGCGGGCGTACTCCTTGATTGCCGCGGCGCGGGCCGTCTCGACCTTTGTGCCACCATAGCCCGGGGCATAGCCTCGGTTCAAGGCATTGATGAGCGGTCCGTAGCTCAGCATCATCCTCGCCGCGTACGGGAAGGGACTCCTCGCACCCTCAGCACCGCTAATGTCGTCCTCGGAAGGCAGGGTCTGCGTAATGTCCTCGGGCCGGAAGGCCGTCTGCCGCCCCACGCCGAACGACAGCGCATAGTCCATGAGCAATACGGACCAGAACGTGAGCCTGTTCAGCCTCCTGTCTCTTTCGCTCATGGCGGATTCCGGCGGCGGCGTAAGGTGCAGCCCAAAATCCACACTCATGCGGACTGCGAGACCCGTGAACATCCACACCTCGCTCTCGGAGTCCTCGCTGAAGCCCAGGTGCGCCAGGAGGACGAATGCGATGATCGCCTCCCGGGAGGGGAAGCCGAGCATGGTCCCCACCATGGCCTTTGCGCGCGCGTAGAAGACCTTTCCGTACTCGTGTGGCTGCAGCTCGGGCAAGGCCACGAGAGGATGCTTGCTGAACCGCGCCGCGATGGCCCCAATGGCGAGGAGGAGGAAGAGGCTTGCTGTGCGATTTTCCACGCCCGCCTCGAGACCCAGCTCCGCAACGAGGGGGAACTGCGCGCCAAAATGCACCCGGAACACGTCCAGGAGGTGCAGCATCACTGGCGTCGCTGGGAATCCATCGGGCGCGAAGAGCTCACTCGCGGATCCGTTCAGAGCAGCGGAGGGAGTCGTTGCCTCCCCAGACGGCGTGTTCACGCGCACTTTCAGCGTCACCTTCTTCAGACCGGGGGCGATAGCCGTCTTCCCATGCGGCCTGTACCAGGAGACTTTCACTGTGCGGCCCTGGTTCTGCGAGCGCGGGCGCGATGGGTCCATAGCGACGGGAGAGGGGTCGCTCGTCGTGCTCCGGTCCGGCGAGGCTTCTTCGACCACTGGAAGGCGGCTCGACACGGCCCAGATGAAGTCTGTCGGGTTCACTGGTCCCTGTCCCGCGCCGTTGCCGAACATTGTGTTCATTGACATCGCGCTCATACTCTGCGCTGGCGACAAAGGCACATTCGCAACGCTCCCTGGCGTCGGTGCGTATCCGAACCGTGGCTGGGGTTGCATCACCCCCGCCGCCGGCGCTGGCGTCGGCGGGAACATGTTTGGCATCGCTCCCATCCCACTCCCGAGACCTATCGTCAGTTCCCTCTGCTTGAAGTTCTCGTTTCGTGGGCGACCCACCAGGATTCGCGTTCCCCATCGCGCCGGCAAGAAGTTGGTCGAGCCACTCCCCCGCCGGCTTCTCCTCCTGCTGCAGCTGCTGCCGATACCTCTGCAGACGCGCCTTGCTCGACCGTCCATCTTCAGTCGGCCATTGACACGGTAGATCTGCCTCGACGCAGTTTGGGCACGGGTCGGGCGGCAGCGCGCCGCACTTTGACTTCCGGCTGCGGCACTGGCGTCAGCATGGTGGAGCTCACGGGGCGACGTACCTGTAAGCAAGCGGTGCGTGAGCGCGAGAACTTTTGGCGTTTCGCTGGCGGCGAGCGGGAACGTTCCTTCTCCTTCTCCTTGCCGCGCGCCGAGGCCGAGCGCGACGACTCGGCGTGCGAGCTCGTCGTCGATGGTGACATCGCTGGCGCGTTGCCGGGCAATAGCCGACTCGGGGGTTTGGCGGGCGATTGGGCTGGAGTCGGTATTCGCTTCGCGTGGTTTAGGTGCTGGGTATAGAGGGGATGGAGGTGGAGAGGGCGATGGGCCTGGACAGCGAGAGCGAAATGAACAAAAGATGAGATCACACTGCAGAACCAAACATGAAGATTGAAGGTCGCATGCCTGGTACCCGCTACGGCAAGCTGGGAAGGGCAACTGCCGCTCGTTCCTGGAATCCGCCGAGAGTACCCCGATGCGGACGTGGGAGCGTGAATATCCGCCTACAGAGGGTCTAGAGCCTCTCTGTGCAGTTCTAACGGAGCAGAAAGGGTCCGGGGGCTAAGAATGTGCGTTATGCTTAAGTGCATGGATCCGAAGGTGCTTTGAGAGGTCGCTACAAACGTCTCACAAGTGACGAGAGCGAGCCGATATGTCGGTATCCAACGTAAGATCTCTCGATGAGCCTAGTGATGCTCCGTGCAGCAGAAAGCATGGAAGAACTTCAGGACCAAAGATCTGTAATACTCTCTCTTCTACCACCGTCTCTGACTCTGACTCTGCAATCCCCTTCTTCTTTCACTCATTCCGACTGCTCGCATGTAAGCAAACAGCCGATCTCGTCATCCACTTCACCTGGCCACCTTCGAGACGATCGTAAGTGGGGGTCACGTGCTTTGACTGGAGCCACGCGGGTTTGCCTCCGTGTCAATCTCTCGGACTGGCAACCTCCCAGTCCTCCGACTTTTCGACGGGCCTACTGCCAGACGTTGAAAGATTCGAGGTAGAGCCTAGAGCACACGACACCCATCAAAACTCGCCCACCATGCCCCAGCGTCCGGTCGGTGTGCGCGATGTCTTCAACTTCCGGCAAGCGATCCCTCGCATGGTGCGTTCCCCTCGCCTTTCGACCGCCGCGCCGGGCGATCCCGCCGTTCCTGTGTCTGCCGACTTTTGTTTGCCCGCGATTTCGACGATCGACAGTCCGCGGAGAGACAGGAGCCGGTAGAACAGAACTGGACGGGCGGCAGAAAGCTAAGCGTGCTGCGCCGTTGAGCTGACATTACAGAGCTGGAGCCCGAAGAACCTGTACAACATGTGGCGCCGAACCGCCCCGCAGGGCGATCTGTACGCCCGGACGGGGCATGACGGCCAGCTCCACGGCGCCAAGCTGTACCAGGAGCGTTGGAACGCGAAGCGCCTCACGAAGGGTTACCACGCGGACCACCTGCCGTCGAAGAAGTTCGGACGTTGGTACCTCCCGCAGGCTCTGCCTGTCATGCGACACAATTCGGCCAAGAGCGACAAGAGGCAGAACGACCTGAGCAAGTGGGTCGAGGGCCGCGAGGCCGCCGGCGGACGAACGGAAATGAACAAGCGTCTCGCGCAGCTGCAGAAGGACGGTCTGTCTCCCGTCGGAACCATGATGTTCGCCGAGACTGAGCGCCGTCTCGACGTCCTCATCTTCCGCGCGTGCTTTGCCCGCTCTGTCTGGGCTGCCCGCTCTTACGTCGTCCAGGGTCACGTTAGGCTGAACGGAAAGCTTGTGAGTGTGCTGCGTTGAGATAGCTGAGGGACGATCGTGAAGCTAACGCCCAGTGCCGTAACCCGAACACGCTCCTGAACCCCGGAGACATCTTCACGGTCGACCCGGCGATGATCCCGTTCATCAACCCGCGTGCGCCGAAGGAGGGCGAGGCCGCTGAGAAGGCCGAGGAGGATGCCGACGAGGCTCTGGCGAACAGCGAGAACAGCGACGAGCCCGCCGCGGAGGCTGCCGAGTCTGCGGCCGCCGAGTCCGCCGAGTCCGCCGAGACGGAGGGTGAGGGCGAGAAGAAGGAGAAGAAGGGCAAGAAGGACGAGAAGGCTGAGAAGGTGCACGCCCCGGGAGAGTACTTCAAGCTGCCGGACTATGCGCAGCCCTTCATCTTCGTCCCCGCGTACCTGCTCCCGTCGTACCTGACGTGCTCGGCGGTGTATGTCCGCCACCCCACTGCGCGTGCGGCGTACTCGGAGATCCCGTCGCCCTACGACGCCGCCGGGCCGCTCATGTCCATGACTTGGGAGTGGTACCAGAAGGTTGCGCCGCGCATGCGCCCCGCTCGTCGCGCACGCCTCCTCGGTCCCGAGCGCAAGAACGACCGCAAGTAGTTATATAGCATCGCATGGCATCATGATCACATTTCTCATACGCCGTCTGGCCTGTCTGGTTGGGCTGAGGGCTGGAACCAGACAGGGGCACGCCGACTCGCGAAGTCCGAGGTTGCATGTGAGGCTGCTCTCTGGTTTCTCTTGGCGCGCCGGGCTTTACTAGCGAGCGAAGTGACGGGTGGTAGAGCAGCGCATGATAAGATACATTAATTGATAGTGCAAGTCTACTTCGACTCCTCCTCGAGAGGCGGGAGCTCGGGGGCAAGGCCCTCCTTGACAAGGAGCTTCTCGAGTTCTCCGTCCTGGTGCACTGTGGGGTCAGCTTAGAAACTGCAGTAACATCTTACTGGAGAGCATGATGTCGCAGCCGCCGACGAACTCGCCCTTGACGTAGACCTGGGGGATCGTGGGCCAATCGCTACTTGTTAGCTAATGTACAGAGTGCGACAGGAAGCTGCGGGAGGTAATGGTGGCGACGAGGAAGGCGCTTGCAGGAATTGCTTGGTTTGCAAGCCCGGCTGGGTTGCTGACTGATCGCACATCACGAGCTCTCAGCCGACCGCGCCAAACGTGTGCGTCCTGCGCTAGGTGCAACACCTGCAGCTGCCTTCGCCAGTCCCTCCTTACGACCATCGGCGACTACCGCAGTCGCCGATAGCGCGGTGGTCGTTGCTTACTCACGAGTACTCCTTGATGCCCTCACGCAGCTCGGGGTCCTCGAGACAGTTGTAGCTCACGATCTTCTCGCGGGGAACGCCCTGGACCTCGAGAATCTGGCACACAGCGCGCGAGAAGCCGCACTGCGGCTGCTCCGGCGTGCCCTTCATGAAGACGACGAGGGGGTTCTCGTGGACGGCCTGGAGTTAGCTCACTTTCCGGGCAATGCAGCTCGTAGCATGCCCCCTGCTTGTCCTTTGGCAGCTTATTAAACCACGAGAAACAGCTGCAAAATGGCACAGGGGGCATGCGGTGGTGAGGCAACACTCACATTGTCTATGAGCTTGCGGGCCTCATCGGAGAGAGCGCGGCGCTGCGCGATCTGCTGCGAGACCTGCGCGAAGCGAGCGCGGGGGAGGGAGTTCTGCTCATCAGCACATGTCCTTTTTCTCCTTCCTGCTTTCCAGATACGTACAAGGGTACGGAGACCAGCACGGGCGAACATGGTGACGAGAGGTGGTGAAGAAGTCGGAAGTCCGGCAAGGTGGAGGAAAAGTCGAGCCGAATGAAGCTCACTGCACCGAGTGTGTCATGTTCGAGGTCTTATTGGTTCCGTTCGGCCGAGGCATGACTCACCAGGGTTGGCCACCCGCCGGACTCTGGCACGCGAGGGTTGTTGTTGTTGCTCTGCGACAAGACTGCATGCTACCCAGACTACATTGCTTGCGCTTGGCATACCCCTCGGCACGCCGATACCTCTCTGCACCGCTTGCTCAACCAGTTTTAGTCCCTCGCTTCGCTCGCTCCTTGACTGAAGATCAGAAGAATCGACTGGAGAAGTGGAGAATGTCCCTGACACCATCATACCGCTACATCAACGCTGATGTGAGCTGAAGACTCGGCCAAAGCTGACAGGACAGGAACTCGCGACGCTAATCAAGGCCAACCCCACTGGCAACGGGAGGGAGTATGCCGTCGTCGATGTGCGCGACAGCGACTTTGCTGTGAGTCCGCTAGGACCCCCACCTTCCACCCTCTCCCTCCACCTTGCAACTTCTGTTCATGCCGCTCTGTCTGACGGCAGAGACCCCGCAATGGTGTCGCAGGCAGTGCTTCAGAGGCACGGTAGAGGCACATGGGGGGAAGCTATATCTTGTGGATGGACAGCTGACCTCTAGGGCGGCAACATTGTCGGATGCCTGCACTACCCCAGCGACGAGTTCATGGGCAATATCACCGAGATCGTCGACAGGGTTAAGAGCGGTAAGCTAGACTGGCGCAACGTGAGCTGAACCCCAGTGCCGAAGGTCGTCTTCCACTGCGCTCTGTCGCAGGTCCGCGGTCCGAAGGCGGCGAGGGTGAGTATCAGGCAGGAGTGCCGAGCGTCACATTCGTAACTCGCGCTTCCTCATGGCTTCGCCCACGACGCTCAAAGGGGTCTGAAGGGCGGCGAGCTAAGGCGTACAAATACGAGTAGCTGACACCCCAGCGCTACATTGAGGCCCGCGACATGCTTCTGAAGGAGGACGCGCCGAAGGACCAGGAGGTGCTCGTGCTTCGCGAGGGATTCGAGGGCTTCCACCCACGATACCGCGTGAGTTGTGCTCGCTTCCGCTGCAACTGACATACAGGACGACCCGGTGCTTGTCGAGAAGTTCAACAAGTTCTACCACGACTAGACCGTAGATTACATGTATCATTACCTTTGCCACTGCACTAGCTCTCCGCCGGCTGAGAGACACGAGCACGAAATACACACAACCTCCGAGGGAGCCAACAACGCTTAAAGGGGAGGCAGTTTCCTGGCGCGTCTATCTTGCGTGTACAGCCTCAGCCCATGGCACTCCAGCCAACCTCGGCGCGGGCGCGATAAATCCAGCACTGACAGAGAAAAAGGCAAAAGATATAACTTCCTGACGGAGAATCGAACTCCGATCTCCCGCGTTCGACCAGGAAAGGTGACAAGCGAGCATACTAGCCGTTATACGATCAGGAACGTGGCAATCGCGTGGTCGCCATTGGCGGATCGGTGGCGCGGCTGCGGTTTATGAATATCAGATACGTCACGTGATATACTTCCTCTGGTGGCGTGGACGGCGCGTCGTCCACGTTGACTTGACGCGACGATTCGTGCGCGTATCTCTGTGTCTACTTTGGGCAGAGTGCGTCGGGATGGAGG